TTGAAAAACCATCTGTCATTCAACGTTGTGTGTTGGGCGCTGCTGCCATCCTTGTTTTTAGTCGTCTCAAAAACTCTCGGTCAATCGGCTTAAGATTTTATGGGAGTTAGAAGCAGGTGTTAGAAGCTGGTATCCTCTCCTACAAACTAGTATCCTCTCGAGGAGTAGTGGTCGGAGGAAACTCGGAGGACTGAGGAGCGGCGCGCTGCCGCCCCTCGACGCAAGGAAGGCACGGCGGCGCAAGTGAGCGCGGGAGGGAGGGCAGGGTCTTAGGGAGGCCAGAGACCAGGAGCCGGGAGTGCATGCCGCGCAGACGCCGCAGGGAGGGGTGATCAAGACGGTGGCACCAGCGCTGAGTCTCGTGCGTGAGTACTCTGCACGAGCAAGGCGCAGCTAACTGCCCTGATGTAGACGCTCGACTCGACGCAGCTACCTGACCTGACTCAGCCACGTGTGCAGACGCAGTGGTCAGTGTGTACAGACTAGACCCAAGCTGTCGAGTGAACGTAGCTAGGTGACGGCCAATCCGGAAGCACGTACAGATCGCCACACGCTGCCCTCCAGGAATAAAGGTATCAACCCAGACATCCTGAATGGCAGCATTGCTCACCAAGCTCGTCAAGAACGTGGGGAGGTGGAGACCTGACAAAGAGCCGGAGGGGACTGCTGGGCAAGGGAGGACCGTGGAGGCTCTCGCAACCACTGGGCCCTAAGAGGGGTCAGCCAGTGAGACTGGGACACGTGATGTGAGTGGTGTGACTGTGGTGCAATCACGAAAGAAGCAACGTGACGTGCCTGAGTCAAGCGTGAAAGTGTGCAAGAACTCATATGAGGCCGGACATGTAGTAGTAGACGCACTAGCGCCTAGAGCGTCGGTAGACGCACGCGCACCTAGAGCTGCAGCAGACTCACTAGCACCTGGAGCGGCAGCAGACTCACTAGCACCTAGAGACGTAGTCCTAAAAGAACGATAACCTCCACCACCAGGACGACCTCGCTGAATAACCCACTCACGAAGCTGCTGAGGGGTGGGGTCGTCCGGGAGAAGCAGTGCCTGCTACTGTCTACCCCTGGTCGCAGCAGCTGCCACGGTAGTGGCCATGACAGACATTAACTGTTAGGAGTAGGTCCAACACCTCTAGCTCCTACAGCGCCAGCATCACCTCCTGCACTCCCTACAGCACCTCCTCCACTCCCAGTCGCACAAGTAGCAGCACCAGCAGTAGTAACAGCAGCAGGGCGGTTCGGTGGGGCTGGGAGGCCGCACCTCCACTACTCCCAGCAGTACTCCCTCCAGCAGCAGCAGTAGCAGGGCGGCTCGGGCAGCAGCAGCACCAGTAGTAGACCGAGTAGCACTAGCTGTAGCAGCAGTAGTTGCAGCAGCAGTAGCAGTGACAGCTCAGGTTGGGCGGCGCGGCTCGGACAGGTCGGCGCGGCTCGGGCTCAGTGGCGGAGCAGCAGCGGCGAGTAGCAGCAGCAGTCGGCGCTCAATAGCAGCAGCAGCACCAAGTAGGAGCAGCTGCAAGAAGTAGCAGCAGCAGTAGCAAGGAGGAGCAGCTGCAGGAAGTAGCAGCAGCAAGGAGGAGCAGCTGCAGCAAGTAGCAGCAGCAGTAGCAGGGTAGTGCAGGTGGCAGCAGCACTGCAACAGCAGTTCAGACGCAGCAGCGAAGCAGCAGCAGCAGTAGCAAGTGCCGTACTAGTAGCAGCAGCAGTAGCAAGTGCCGTAGTAGCAGCAACAGCAATAGCACTAGCTGTAGCAGCAGGAGCTTTAGTAGCAGCAGTAGTGAGAGTTCAGGCTGGGCGGCGCGGCTCAGAGACAGTGGCAGAGCAGTAGTAGCAGTTGTAGCAAGTGTGGTAGTAGCAGCAGCAGCAGTAGCACTAGCTGTAGCAACAGTAGCCTCGGTCAGTAGCAGCTGTAGCAAGTGCCGTAGTAGTAGCAGCAGGAGTAGCACTAGTTGTAGCAACACTAGCTTCAGTAGCAGCAGCAGTGAGTAGCGCTAGCTGTAGCAGCAGTAGCATCAGTAGCAGCAGCAGTGACACCTTGGGCTGGGCGGCGCGTAGTAGCAATAGGTGCGCGTGGGCTGTGGGCGATCAAACCAGGGGCGCGCAACAGGTGCACGCGGGGCAGCTCTACAAGGGGCGCGCAGCAGGTGCGCGCTAGGGGCTGGCGGGTAGCGTGAGTGGCGTGCGTAGCAGCAGGAACAAGGGGGGACCGGGCGTAGGGGCTGACGGGCCGCGCGAGTGGCGTACGGGGCAGCTAGGCCGCGGTCAGAAGGGGTCGCGCGTGACTAGGTAGCCTAGGGGACGGGACGCGCCTATGGCAGAAAAACGTCTCGCCTAGGGCGCGTTTCGCGCTTCGTGCTTCTCCTAGGGGCGCGACTCGGGCAGCAGTTCGAAATCGTAATGGTGGGCTCGGTAAAATATTCGATCCTTAGGAGCGTTTCGCTCTTAATGCCATGTTAAAGCTAGGAGCTAGGTGAGAATGATCGATTAGGTAAGGGGGGGGGTACAAGGACTATGACAAGGTGAGAATATAGTACTCTCTAAGGAAAGAACCCTACACAACCTAGAGTGAAATAAGCAGAACAATATGTTTTGACAGAATGGCCACCAATGGTTGCGGCTGACCGTTTTCGGCTGTGACGGTTCGACGTGGTTCAAATGCTGCGTGTGCGCGATGAAATGAGTGCTTGCATTGGTTGATGACGCGGAGGACTGACAGCTGGGTAACTGACGCTACACTGGGATGAGTCATTCGCAATTTCATGGTCAGTGAAATAGTCAGTTGGTTTTCCATAGTAGGAAATGTTAGCGAGTTCTATGGAATGAAAGAAAGAACGACATTCCACGTTAGTATACTCTGAAGAGCGATGGACTCGGAGGCAGGAAGTTCTGGATATAGCCATCTCTCAAGATGGTACTCGCACTCTAACTGTGACTGTAGTCCTCGTGCTAGCCTCTGATCTGAGTATTGTCACAGAAACGACTCGAGGACTGGGCCCACCGGCCTGCCGCGCGTGGACTGGGGTTCCCGCCAGTGTGATGTAGCCTCAGCTCGGCAAGTTACCAATTTTCAGATAGCTTCCATGGATTTCCGCCCGTGATTGCCAAACTTGGGCACCATTTTGTCGCCACTGATCGCCACTGTCGCCACTGACTGCATCTCTGCATGAGCCGAACTCTGTCTCTGTCAACCAGACATTTGTTCGCCAACCTATCGGCTTAGCTGAACGAAACCCTCGTTTGAAATAATGCTACTACAAGTTTTGTTTGGATATCAACGTTCCAGCTATGAGGATCTGAAGTGAAAACATAAATATTTGACTAGGAATCCTAGATCCGTGATTTCACATGCTCAAATTTGTGTATTAAATATCATATTTTATTATATAGTTTTTATGCAGCCCTTTCAGCTACAGCGGCTATAGCATTGACTTATTCGTTTTAAAATACTCGTATGCTAGTATCATGCCTTCTATAAAAGGAGGTTGTACCGGGATACACCAGTGGATGCCAGTTGGCTGTTGTGGGGAGTGTGGGAGCGGGTTCCCCCATACTCGCAACAGTGTTGTGCTATCCTTCATGTCAAATGCATGGAGCGCTGACCTCCCAACCGCCACAAACTCCCAACTCAACGCTGTCACGCCTCCACTCTTGAAAGCCTATTGGCTGAATGTGAGCTGGTAAGTGCTTCGAGGTGGCACTTACGCTAGTTGCTCTGTTTCTTCAGGTGAAATCAGGTGTTCTTTTTCATCCCACCCACACTGCAAGCTCCACCCTCGCGGCGCACATGGTGCTGAGATTCCAGTTCACGCACCGCGTTGCGCAAAATCCAGGCTGCACAACATTCGTTTCCAAGTTCCTTCATTCCCCAACACACACTTGCCATTTTCGTGAACCATTTCTCACAAGCATCTCTGCCCATATTGAGCTCAGCGAAGTTCAGCTAGGGGGATATTTTCCAGGTGCTAGGACTGTCCGTCGCGCCCCGTAAGTCCGCGTTGTCGGTGTTTCGTTCCCTACGTCATTTTATTGGTCTAAATCTAATCCGTATGAGATTAGTAGAATATCATCCCTTCTCTGACTCCAGCATCAGACACACAGCCTTCGCCGCATTTCATGCACGAAAAGCCAACACCCAGCCAGCAGCCATGAACCAGCAAAGAAGAGCCCGCCTCATCTCGAGAGCCTCAGTTACCTTGTCGCTTCTACTCCTCTCGATTACTCTATTCGAGCCGAACTCGCATGATCGCGCGCACGCAGCGTCCGTACTTCCCGGTCAGGCCGTCATAACCGGCGACAATAGAGCGCATCCAGTACATTCCATCCTTACCGCCCCGCTTCGCGCTACACGACGACCGTTGCGAGACTCCCTCAGAGTCGGAAACCCCGAGGTATCCGATGACGCACAGCGTGAGAGGCGGGAAGGGGCGGAGGCCGTGACGCAGCTGCAAGCTCCCCTAGAAGGCGCCTCCCTTGAATCGTTGCTTGTTCACCCGCCTTTAAAGCCACGTCCGCAGCGCCGAACCGAGTCGCCCGGCTCGGAAATGTCCATCTGCCCGACCTTCCAACCAGGTTCGGGGACCCTGAGCGAAGTTTCGGCGTGCAAGTGGTCGGGACCTGCGCAGGCTAGAGAGGGTTCGCTTCCCGTCGCGAATGATCTCGCAACATTCGCCTCGCGGTTTCGCGAAGACGAAAAGTTGCATTCGCGAACGCAATGTCGCCAGCGGCCGTGGCTATGGCCGTGGCCGTTGCTACACGTGGGCGACGTGTGCGAAGGGGAGGGTGAAAACGGCGGCTCCGAGGAGCCAATTGACGATGAGGTTCCCCCCAGTGTGACAGACGAGACGGGTAACAGCTCGATCCTTCTTTTTCGTGACGTCTTCGTCAACGGGAGGGGCGTCGTGTTCAATGCGAGCCACGTGTTCGAGTTTAGCGCCTGCGGCGGCGGCGCTGGCGGGGAGTGGAAAACGCGGACAGAAAAACAGTCTATAGCGGAGATGTCTTACCCTGCGGGAACCGTTACTAGTGTTCACGAGCATTTAATCAACTTGCTACCTTACGAGGAGGCCGACGGGTGGGCTGAGCTGGCGGCGGAAACGGGGGACTCGGCGCAGGCGGAAGGGGGGAGCGACGGCGGGGGAAAAAGCGCGTGGGAGGAAAAAGCTCGCGCGGTGGGCGGAAGCGCGAAGGAGCGGCAGCTGGCGCGGCTGCTGCCGGTGCTGTTCCTGGTGTCGTCGTCTCTCATGCCCACTGCGCGCCGATACCCGCTGCTGCTGCGCGATCGACGGGTGAGCCTATGCCAAATTCACGAAAATACTAGCGCCCAATCAGATCATATCGCTCATGGAAGCATGATTGCATCATTATCAGCTCAGTTGACAATCCGCCTCACAGTCGCCTCTCCGCTAACTCTTCTCTCCTCCCTGTTTCTTCCTCTCCCCCTCTCTCCCTGGAATGCCTGCTCCCTTCCCCCAGTTGCTACACCACGTGCGCATCGGGCTCTTCGGAGTGGATCTCGCCGCGCTCTCCATCCCCCTGGACGCCACGTCAGCGTATTCCACGTCAGCAGCTGCGCGTCCGCACCTGTTCTTTGCGAAGAAGCTCTACCTCCCGCTCCACCCGGACTCTCTCTGCGGATTCGCCGCCTCCCCCCGCCCCCGCTCCCCCGACCCCCTCTGGCGCACCCTCCGCGCGCACCACCTCCTCCCCCCAAACGGCTTGCCGATCCTCAACCCGAACTGGGTGCCTCGGCTGCCGAACCAGCATCTGAACCAGCAGGCTCGGGCGCACATGGTGGTTGGGGAGGCTTTGCGTCGGGATTGGGTGGTGGTGGTGTCGCTGGTTTGGAGTGTGCATGGGGGGAGGGAGGGGCAGGGGGTGGCTGGGGGGGAGGATATCGGATTGGGGGAGGGGGAGCTAGCGGAAGGAGGAGCAGGCGGAGGGGAGGGCGCGGAAGGTGACAATAAGGAGGCGGCTGACGCGATGAACCGTGTGATTGTAATGATGCGGGAGCTCTTCGGCGAGGCGCGCGTGGTGGTATACGACGAGCACGTGCCGCTACTGCAAGCCAAGGAGCTCTTTTCCCGCGCGATTCTGTTCGTCGGCCCGACGTCGCCCGCGCTGTCGAATCTCATCTTCATGCCCTTCAACTCCACGCTCATCGAAGTCCTCCCTCGCACCGTCGCCATGGCAGCCGCGTCCATCCCTGTTGTCGGCCAACAGCGGGCTGCCACGTGGCACTTCCACCTCGCGTCCCGCCTCGGGATCCATCATTTTCTCTCTGCCTGTGATCCGACTAAGGTGAACTGGCATTCTCAGGAGCACTGCCACGTGGACGAGGTGTACGGTACAGTCACCGCGATGATCCGTAACAACCCTACACTCCACGCGTTCACCGGGTTACCATCCGTCTCCTTTCCACCGGACGAGCCTGCCAGCTTCGGCGACTTCCGAAGCAGGATCCCAGGCTCGAGGCTCAAGCCCGGAACAGGCGAAGCGGCAGCGTTCAAGCAGTGGATGAGCTGCGTGGCGGAGCGCGGCGAGTGGCGGTACAACGCGACGCCGAGGGTTCTACCGTGGGAGGAGAAACAGGTGCAGAGCTGCGACTCCCGACACATGAAGCAGGGCGGAGTGGCAGGAGTCCACGCGGACAAAATCGCAAACTCGGGATGGGATCCCGCTGCTGCTGCTGCGGCGTGGAAGGTTCGAGAGAGTCTGAAGTACCAGTGGGTGGTGCCTCGGGAAAAGTGTGCTGGAGTTGTCGGGGGCAGGCAGGCGGTGGTGGGGAGGGAGGGCGTGCAGGGGGAGATTTTCTCGAGGTTCGACGGGCGTGCGCTTTGCGAGCTGGCCGCGCGGAGGAAGGATGGGCTGCGGATTGCTTTTATCGGGGATTCGCTGACCCGCGAGCATCACTATTCGTTTATGAATAACATCATTAAGCACATCCCCAAGCCTGCGGTGGGGACCATAGTGAAGCGGAAATGCCTGGAGTGGATCGATGACACAGTTACAGTTACATGCGCTGGTTACCGCATTGAGGGGTGCCCAAAACTGGAGATACACTACGTGGCTACAACTCGGCTGATGCGTGTACAGGAAGAGAAGCTAGAACGAGCGGCATGGCTCCACGTGCCGTGGCAGCAAGTCCCTGGAATCAGAAATTCCCATGTGCTTATAATGAACCGGGGTGCGCACTACAAGCCAGCAGTGAAGGTGGTGAAGGCAGTCAGGCGAATCTTCAGATTCCTTCGCCATAATCACCCTGACAAACTCCTTATCTACCGTACAACACCTCCCGGTCACCTCAACTGCCTGAACCACACCCGGCCAATCACAGAGCGGCAGGATGGCACAGCGTTACCGTTCAGATGGGGAGAGTTCAAGCAGCAGAACGAGATGGTGAGAGAGATAGTGGAGGATGCGGGAGGGTTGTTCATGGATGTGGATCCGATGATGGCTTTAAGACCGGATGGGCATAGAGGGGTGGTGGCTAAGGATAAGGTGGACTGCCTGCACTACTGCCTGCCAGGCCCGGAAGACACGTGGTCTGAGTTCCTGTACAACATCATCCAGAGGCTCGTGCCTGTCCAGTGAGCTTCCGAAGTGATCATCGTGGGGTGCCAGCCACGCTTCCAAGACACGTGGCCTGAGTTCCTGTACAACATCATCCTGTCCTGAGGCTCGTCCCTGTCCAGTGAGATGTTACTGAGGTGCCTCAGAATGTGGTCGGTACAGGAGAGTGAGGGGATGTCCCCTACCAGACTGGTGGATTGGAAGAGGAGAATTGCAGGGGATGAGTGAATTGTGGTACAATAAGGGCGGATGGGGAAAGGTGGTTTCGTGGCATTAGCTGCCTGTGTTTGATTGGAGACTCGTTGTGTTGGAGGTTGCCCTCCTGGTCAGGTGTCTTTTAATGGGCTTCAGAATAAACAGCGCATCTGGAAATGTGCAGGTGGGAAGATGCAGCTGTGCCATAATAAGGACGCAGCTTGGTGTCCAGACATGTAATAATGATGCAGTTCCTGCAATTTGAATCAAGGTGGATAACATAGAAATGAATGAAGAGAATCACATATTCTATTTATTGATAGTTCACTCATGTGGAAGGTGTGTGTGCCAAGGGAAGTGGATGGAGGGGAAGATTTGATTTCAGTTGATCAAGGAAAGGAAAGTGTGACACAGCTGATCATCCGTACAACACAAAACCTGATTGCACCCTTTACAGACACCGTTAGCGTCACCAGCACGCTTCGCTCTGCAGCCAAATTGCGGCCCGTGCTTCACCCTACCACATTCCACACGCAGCCTGCGGCCTGCTGCGCGCCTGACAGATTTTAGCTAGGTCGTGGGGTGGTAACACGGCACGATCGAGGCGTTAGTTGAACTTCGGCTTGTGCCAGTCTCGAATGGCGGGAAAACACAGAGGCTTTGAGATTATTACGGATTACTCGTCAGCATGTCACGTGGATGCGAGAGATTGGTCACGTCTCTCACGCGTCGCGTTGCCCGTCGCGCGCAGTACGGAGGCGGCTCGCGTGAGCTTACCTCGTCCGCTGTATCTGCGATTTCAAGTTTTCGTGCCACGTGGCAGCAGCATCAGATCTGTCAACCTCGCCAAATTATCGCGCCGAGCTCCTGGTCGGTACCCGATTCAGATCTCGCCTTACGTGGCAAAACCAGTACTAGTAGTAGTAACGGTATTCGTGTTAATAGTAGAACTAGTGACATCTATTCATGTGACTATCGCCAATCGTCTGCTGCCACGTGGTGCTCGTGGCACATAGGTCAGCCAATATCAACTTCTCCTGTTGCCACGTGGCGTGGTGGTGGTGGGTCCCACCTGGCGAAGTTTCCGCACACCTTCCTTCCGCCGCCAGCGGTTCCCCCATCCACGGAGTTCGCGTTCGTTCCGCGCTTCACTGCCCTCCGCGGAGAATGGCCCTCCCCCTCCCCGCCGCCCGCCACTCCGCCTTCCGCGCATGCAGTAGCGCGGAGGGGGAAGGAGGGCGGGGGAAGCAGAAGGCGGAGCTGGGGGAAGGGTAGGCTAGCAGGGGGAGAAGGAGCTGCGGCAGGGACGGCAAGAGGGGAGGGTGGGGAGGCTTTAGATGCAGATGAAGAGGCTTATATGGAGGATGGAGCGTGGGACAAAGGCAGGAGAGAGGATGATGCAGAGACGGGCGTGAACACGGATTCAGGCCGACATGGAACGCGGTAGGGTAGACCATGGTGGGGTGGGACGCCTTTTTTTCAGGATTCAGCCTTTTTCTGGGATTATGTTTGTAATACTCACTCTGTTTTCCCGTGCAACCATGAACCTTGCCAAGGTAACGAGGTGACTTTTGAGTCGACTCAAAAGTCGCCTCGGTACTTTGGAATATTCACTCTGTTCTCTCGTGCAACCATGAACGTTGTCCCCTTTCTCCCATTCGTTGTCCCCTTTCTCCCATTCGTTGTCCCCTTTCTCCCATTCGTTGTCCCCTTTCTCCCATTCGTTGTCCCCTTTCTCCCATTCGTTGTCCCCTTTCTCCCATTCGTTGTCCCCTTTCTCCCATTCGTTTTCCCCCTTTCTTCACTCTGTCCTTCCCCCACCTCTGCATTCTACCTCCCCTACCCCCCTCTCTCGGTTCCAGCATGCTGGTGGTGCAGCCGCGCCCCCATCCGCGCTGGCTGCTGCGCACCAAGCTGTATGCACACATGCTGGCACGAATATACCTCCTCCCTTTCTCCCTCTCCCCCTGCCTTCCGCTCCTCCCTTTCCCCCCCACCCCCCCACATAGCATGTTAGTGGTGCAGCCGCGCCCCCATCCGCGCTGGCTGCTGCGCGCCAAGCTGGGAGAGGCTCTGCGATTGGTGGACTCGCTCACAGGCACGGACAGCCAATGGGAGGTGGAGCAGCGCTCGTGGGGGGGCGCAGGGGCAGGGGAGGACGCACAGGCAGCGTGGCGAGGGGGCCAGGAACCACAGCAGGGGCGGGGAGGAGCGCGAGAGTGGCAGGGGGGAGGGGAGCAGTGGCGGCAAGGGGAAGATCCCGAGGCTGAGTGGAGAAGGCGGAGTGAGGGGAGAGGGATGCGTGGGGATGGGGTGGAGGGAAGAGGGCGGAGTGGTGATGGGGTGGAGGGAAGAGGGCGGAGTGGTGATGAGGTGGAGGGTTTCGGATTCCCGCTGCCGGGAGGGGGGCATCCATGGGTGGTGGTGCACAGCAGAGGGCGGGGGATACACGCAGGTAGGCTGGATGTGGTTTGGGGGGCATGGCTTGGAGAGCTTGGGGTTTGGGTTTGGGTTTCTGCCGCCGGGAGGGGGGCATCTGTGGGTGGTGGTGCACAGCAGAGGGCGGGGGATACACGCAGGTATGGTGGATGTGGTTGAATTCCGTCTGTCACCCTTCTCGCCTCTCACCCTTCTCGCCTCTCACCCTTCTCGCCTCTCACCCTTCTCGCCTCTCACCCTTCTCGCCTCTCACTCTTATCACCTTCTCACCCTTCTTGCCTTTCACCCTGTCCCATCCCTTATTGATTTCGACAGTGGGGAAGTGGAACCATCCAGACCATTGTTGCTCATGCGCATGCTCTCGCTCTTCCCGCCTCCCTCTCTTCTCCCTTCCCCCCTTTCCCCCGTGCTGATGCTGTCTTTCAGGGTCGTTCTTTGGCAGTGGCACCATAGAGAGCATTGCCGCTCATGTGCATGCTTCACACACCATGGTATGTTATGGTTTGCACTTTACATCAGCTCAAATGCAGTGAATGTGAACATGCACACTCGCTTGCGCAAGTGTGTATGGAAATTCACACCCTCACATTCATTCATCCACACGTGAGCTTCTGATAAAGAGCGAATTGTTTTTCTTTATTTGTTTGTTTTTTTCCCAGTGCTGTCCAACTACTTATGAAGCGCCTTGAATGCGTATGTGCCATGCGCTTATCTTCTCATCGTCCACCCTATTCACCAGGGCGTACCAGTGGAGGCAGTATTCGTAAATGCTGCTCTCTCAGGCGTACAGCAACGGAATCTGGAGGTGAGAGCTGGGGGGAGGGAAGAAAACAGAATACAGAGCTACCAGATTCCCTTTTTCAGTTGAGGCATTTGCACACCTTTCTGCTCACCAACACTTCAACCGTAGAAAAGCCCGGATTTGCAAACCTCACTACTCTTACCACTGTGTACATTACCTTCCCCTGAAACCAACACCATCTGTCCAGCCTTCTTCACCTCCCAGGACTCATGCATCTGTACACCTTCGCGCCTCACGCATGGTTTTCGTGAGGCGCGAAGGTGTACAGATGGGTGAGTCCTGGGAGGTGAAGAAGGCTGGACAGATGGTGTTGGTTCCAGGGGGAGATGATGTGGTAAGAGCAGTGAGGTTTGCAAAGTCGAGCCTTTCTATGGTTGAAGTGTTGGTGAGTTGAAGGGTGTGCAGATGCTTCACTAAAAAAGAAGAATTCAGTAGCGGTGTACACTCGTGAAGACAGAACAGGGTAACTTGCTCCAATTTGTTGGAGAGTTGGGGGCGAAGGGTTTCGCTAACCAGGGGCGAACGAGGGGAGCAGGGGAGGCTGTATTCGTTAATGTTGCTCTCTCAGGCGTGCAGCAACACAACCAGAGGTGAGAAGGGGATGGGGGATCTGTGTTGCTGGGTGCAGTGGAGCGAGGGGGGCGATACGGGAGAGGGGCAGGCAGGCAGAGTAGAGGGTGCAGTGACAGAGGCAGCCTTAGTGATCGCCACAACCGGTTTGTCCTTTCTCTGTCCCCTCTTACCCCCATCCCCCCTTCTCACCTTCCCCTCTCTCGTTATTCAAGGCTGCGTGGGGCCTTTCGGTGGTGGACAGGGTGGGGCTGATCATTGAGATCCTTGGAGCTCGTGCAAACAGCGGACCCTTCACCTCGATTCTCCCCCTTGCGCCCCTCTTCCTGCCCCCTCTTTCACCACCTGCTCCCCTTAAGGCCGCATGGGGTCTGCCGGTGGTGGACCGGGTGGGGCTGATCATTGAGATCCTTGGAGCTCGTGCAAACAGCTGACCCTTCCACTCCCTTACTCCCCCTTTTTTCCCTCTTCCTTCCTCCTCTTTCGCTCCTTCTCCTTCCCACCTGCCCTCTCCAAAGGCTGCGTGGGGCCTGCCGGTGGTGGACCGGGTGGGGCTGATCATTGAGATCTTTGGAGCTCGTGCAAACACACGAGAGGCCAAGCTGCAGGTGGGTTGGGCTGGGTTGGGTTTGGTTTGGTTGGGTTGGTCGGTTGCTCAGTGACCCTATTAAATAGAAGAAAGAAGAAATAATCAAATAGTTAAAAAAATACAAGTTTACCTTCCCATCCCTTTTCCCCGGTACGCTCCGTTGTTCTACTTCCATTCTAAACCTCAGGTCGAGATGGCAGGTTTGGAGTACCAGCGCAGCCGGCTGGTTCGGCAGCGAGGCTCGGGGGGCTGCAGGCTTGGGTTTGGTTCGGGAGGGGAGCAGCAGGTGGTGAGTGCGCGAGGGAGGGCAGCAGGCGGGCGGGGCTTTTTGGCTGGAGCAGGGGAGAGCGAGCTGCAGCTGCAGAGGCGACGGTAAGAGGGAGAAAAAAGAAAAGGGGAAGGGGGGGTGTGGTATTTTTCACCCTTTAGGCGCACTCATCGCTTCCCCATCCCTCAACCTTCCCTCCCTCCCTCCTCCCCCCCCTTCCCTCCCTCCCTCCCTCCCTCCCTCCCTCCCTCCCTCCCTCCCTCCCTCCCTCCCTCCCTCCCTCCCTCCCTCCCTCCCTCCCTGCCTCCCTCCCTCCCTGCCTCCCTCCCTCCCTCCCTCCCTCCCTCCCTCCCTCCCTCCCTCCCTCCCTCCCTCCCTCCCTCCCTCCCTCCCTCCCTCCCTCCCTCCCTCCCTCCCTCCCTCCCTGCCTCCCTCCCTCCCTGCCTCCCTCCCTCCCTGCCTCCCTCCCTCCCTCCCTCCCTCCCTCCCTCCCTCCCTCCCTCCCTCCCTCCCTCCCTCCCTCCCTCCCTCCCTCCCTCCCTCCCTCCCTCCCTCCCTCCCTCCCTCCCTCCCTCCCTCCCTCCCTCCCTCCCTCCCTCCCTCCCTCCCTCCCTCCCTCCATCTCCCCCTGCCCCTTCCCATGACAGAATAGCGGAGAAGCAGCACAAGCTGAGGCAGCAGATAGCGCAAGTGAGGAGGACACGTGGCCTGCACCGATTGGCCCGCAGACGAGCCTGCTGGGAGGGCGGAGGGAAGGGGCGAGGGCTGCCGGTGGTGGCGGTGGTGGGCTATACGAACGCAGTGAGTGTACTTATTGAGGGGGACGGTGAGTGAGTAGTATCTCTCATGGTTAGTACGTGTGTGGTTATTTCTTGTTATGGGCACAAGGGGCGAGGGCGAGGGCGACGGCTGCTGGTGGTGGCTGTGGTGGGATGGGATGTACCAACGCAGTGAGTTCCTTCCACAGTTGTATTGTAAGCAACAGATGTGAATGCAACTGTGTCCTTTTTCTTTCTTTCTTTTCGGGGAGCCTACAGAAATTGCGTTCAATGCACAGTAGTCACTGCAGGGGACGTGCTGTGCACTGTGGGAGGGTGGCCTGGATGATGCATCTATAGCATTGTGATGTAGGGTTTTGAGGCGCCTGGGTTTGAGAATTCTCATCGCTTACATCCTACATCGGCCTGGATGATGCATCCATACCATAGTGCATGTCTGTCACATGTACATTCAATGAGCATAGTTTTTTTAGGTACACGTATATTATGTTAATCGCTTTTACTTGCACATTTATGCCATGTGCATCAGGTCCTGCTTTTGAGTCCACTCAAAAGCATTTATTTTCCTTGCACATTTATGTCATGTGCATCAGGGCAAGTCAACGTTGGTGACAGCACTTTCACAGTCGCCCCAATACATTGATGATCGGTGAGTGATAAGACTAATGATAGGCGGGGGATAGGGTTGGTGAGAGGTGGGAGATTGGTTGTCGAGGGCTTCTGAGTCAGCAAGGGAGCTCGGTTGCAAACCTCTGAGAGCGTTAAACTCCAGTAAAGCATTGCGATGGGTTTTGAGGCGCCTCAAAACCCACCTTTGTGAGAGGTGTGAGATTGATTGTCGAGAGCTTCTGTGTGAGATTGATTGATTGTCTCTTGACAATCAACCTCACACCAAGGGGCTTCTGTGTAGTTTTGGGTGATTGGTTGCACCAGGAAGGGCATTAGATAGAATCCAGTAAAGCTGCCTGACGTCTCGTCTGGTGCAGCCTTTCTCATTCATTCATTGCTCTTCCGTCTGCCCGATGATGTTACTGTTTGGTTTTCAGCTGTCCGTGCAGGCTATTTGCAACCCTGGATCCCCGTGTGAGAGCGTTCAAGCTGCCGTTTTGCGGCTCCTGCGGTGCACATTCGCGCCTTCATGGCGCTCTCTCTCTGCTCCTTACTTTGCATGGGTTGGTGTTCTGTCGCCCTTGCAGGCTATTTGCAACCCTGGATCCCCGTGTGAGAGCAGTCAAGCTGCCATCAGGGTGAGATGGATTGAGAGGGGAGGGAGATGCCATGGGGGATCAGTAGGATAGTGGATCCAGTTTACATGCTGAATGTCTTTGTGTGTCTATCTGTTACATCTCCTGCATGGTCCATTTGTCATCTCCGCCTGCCAGGCAGGGTGAGAGTGATACAGCTGCACTCGTATCCTGATAACCAATGCACACTCACAGGCCATGTTCGTGTTTCACCCGATTTTCTTTTCTTTTCTTTTCTTTTGATACTTCTTCCCTTCCTCCAGGCGCAGGGTGCTTCTGAGTGACACAGTGGGGTTTATCTCCGACCTGCCCCATCAGCTGGTGGAGGCGTTTCATGCGACGCTGGAGGAGGTGGTCGAGGCCGACCTGCTGCTGGTAGGGTCGTTTCAAAGCACAGATGGCGGTAAGAAGCATGTTGCATGTGGTATAATGCAAGAGACACGGTGGAGGCGTTTCATGCCACGCTGGAGGAGGTGGTTGAAGCTGAAGCTGACCTGCTGCTGGTAGGGCTCATCTCATGCAGAAGTATCATATGGTATGATGCTGGCATGAAATGGAACATACACCATGCCATGATGATGGATACACGGTGGAGGCGTTTCTTGCGACACTGGAGGAGGTGGTTGAACTTGAAGCTGACCTGCTGCTGGTAGGGTCCCTCACTGATGGCCCGCTTGCACAGTGCGTGCTGCACCCGTTGTTGTCCTTCTGTACTGTCTTGAGTGCTGCACTGGTGGGGTTCATATCCCTTTTGAGGCGCCTCAAAAGTCATATCCGACCTACCAACTGGTGGAGGCGTGGTCCAAGCCTTCACGCTAGGTGGTCCAAGCCTTCACGCTAGGTGGTCCAAGCCTTCACGCTAGGTGGTCCAAGCCTTCACGCTAGGTGGTCCAAGCCTTCACGCTAGGTGGTCCAAGCCTTCACGCTAGGTGGTCCAAGCCTTCACGCTAGGTGGTCCAAGCCTTCACGCTAGGTGGTCCAAGCCTTCACGCTAGGTGGTCCAAGCCGACCTGCGGCTGGTAGGCTTGGGCCACACGCTCTGCTCCAGGTGTTCATTGATGATTCCATGCACAATTCTTTAACCTCCGTGTTCAGTGCTGGGCACATGGTGGAGGCATTTTTCAGACGTCTCAAACAACTCACTTTTTGCCACGTGGCTCCGTGTTCAGTGCTTGGCACATGGTGAAGGCGTTTTTTTTCTTCCCTGTTATTCCTTGTCGTGTAGGTAATTACTGGGCGCACACAACATATTGAGCGCTGTCATAATTTTGTGAAGGCTCCTCCAAAACTGCTGTCCACCTCTCCCCTAAGCTCCTCTCCCCAACCCATCCCCACCCCTCCGCCCTCCCCCCTCTTGGCTGCCTGTCCACGTCAGCATGTGGTGGACGCGTCAGCACCAGACATGCATCAGCAGCGGCAGGCGGTGTTGCAAGTGCTGACACAGATGGGGGTGCCTGTGGATCCAGGCATGGCCGCTGACGTCAGCATGGCTGCTAGGGGAAGCAGCATGGGTGTGCATCATGGTGGTTATGGTGTGGACGGTTCAAGAATGCATAGTTACGTCAGCTGGAAAGAGGGGAGGTTCTTTACTCATCCACACATCATCGAAGCTTGGAACAAGGCAAGTCTGTTTGTTTGGTTGTCTGTTCGTTTGTTCTTACCAATTTCAGGGTGTTCTTGTGTCATTGCAGTGCATAAATGTGTGTGTTTCTCTCCCATGCCCAACCTCTCTGTCCTTTTGTCCAACCCTCTTTGTGCATGAATCGTCTCCGTTTCCTCACAGGTGGACCTCCTCCCTCCCTCGCACCCCCTGCTCTCCGGCTCGTCCATTCTAGAGTCACATCTGCATAAGAGCACACTAGACCCGGCTGTAGCACTGTCCAAATCCCAGGATCCGTTACAATCACAAGAGGCTTCGTTAATGAGAAATCCTGCACTGCAACAAGAACTCGAGGCGGATAGTGCAGGAGTGCAGATAGGAGAGGGAAGCGGGCGGGTGCACGTTTCTGAGACACTCAGGCTTGGTGGTGGGAGTGGGTTGGGCAATGTACGGAGTGAAGCTTGGGGTATCCCTGATCCCCAGCTGGAGGAGCAGGATGAGCATGGTGAGGAGGAGGTGGAGGAGGAGGAGGTGGACGATGAGGAAGAGGAAGAGGGAAGTGATGAGGACGAGAAGGGTGATGAGGAAAGGGAGGATGGGTGTGTTGAGAGAGTGCGTGCGGAGGAGGAATATAGGTTGGGTCAGGTGGGAGTGCATGGGCAACAAGATGCTGTTACATGGACTGGGAGTTTTAAAAGTTTGGGAGTGCATAGCAATGGTTGGGAAAATGGAGGTTCTACAGTAAAAGGGGCTTTTGCCCGAGTCAAAGCTTCAAGGCCGGTTTTTATCTCGGCTGTTCGTGGCACTGGTTTTGAGAACATTTTGAGTGATATCGATGAAGCGCTGATTGAAAGAGGCTTATGAAAGGGTGGATGGTTTTGCTTAAATTATTCATAAATAATTTTATGAATCATGGAATAATCGTCATTGTAGTGTTCTGAATGAGACGAATATCTCAAAACTATCCGTTTGGCGTTTCCTTCTGTTGTAACCAGCTGGCAATCGTCAGTTTCTGACAAAACACACACTTGTGGCTGCCGCGTTTGTTGTCCTGCCCTTGAAACGACCGTCTGTTTGCTAAAACTACTGTACAGTAAAGTCGCGTAAACACTATGGGAGTGACTCCAGCTCAACACCCCCGCGACAACACTCGGTTTGAAAAGCACCGATTGCAGTTGATTACACCCTGTTTCGCGCCACACTGACATTCGCCATATTGACAAGCCGGTTGTACTGACATCAATGCGTCCAAATTGGTCCCAGAACATACCGTTTAAGCACTTTTGCCGCACGAAACCAAACTCAAAAGCACGTTCTGTTTCATAAACCGTTGTCTACCGTTCTCCTGAAGTGCATTTCGGATGCAAGCACCAGCCCGCTGAATCCAAGCACACGTGCGTACTGTAGCCGGGGCTCCCGGTTGTTTAAACATCGAGAAACAGGGTGTAACAACGAAGATCTAAAACAGAATACTCAGCAAGGTCATTGAGCAATTTTTGGGACAAGACTAATCATTACACTTTTGTCTCAATGTGGTCGCATTCCAAAATCAGACTAATTGTGAATCACCTAATTGAGCCGCATATTAATAGACTGTGACAACAGAGCACTCGTTGGTGCGGTCAGTAGCGTGATGCCACAATACAGAGCTTCAGAATTATAGAACCAGTGCAAACAGAATAAGATAATGAGTGTATAGACCCAATCATGAAAACCCAAGGCAGACGATCTTCACACACCCCAGTTTCAGCTGCGTCGATGGAATTTGCTTCTGCCCATAGGCGTATCCCGCCCGCACTTCACATTGGCCGAATACACCACCATTCTTGAAAAATGGCTGTTGTTTGTGACTGATAACCCCTAGAAAAACCGCTGCATCGTTCTCTTGCCATTGCTCATCTTAGTGTACCGTAGTCTACCGCCTCTCTCCCCTTGTACAAAACCAGAACCAACTTCCATAACAGCACAGTAGAGTTGCCATCCACTTCCATGCTGCCTCCAGCTCACCCTCACCATCCTCCATGACTTGTTCCACCCTCCTCGTCCCCCCTTCACGAGACAGCACCTGTTGCCGAAACAGATTAAATTCCAAAAATCGGATCCACTCTTGTCTCCTTGCTCAACCTCTTTTCCATCCCTCCCTCTCTCATTTCACAGCTCGAATTACAGCTCCAAATTTATTGCTCAGCCAATCTCCTCTCTTTCCCAGCCATGCCCAAGCTTCGAAGTTTCGCCGCACCTACAGCTGGGCTGGGCAGCGGCCAGCCCAGTCAGCCACCTGTCCACCAACCAATCCTTGCCGACGAAGAGCCTCAGAGAACTCCAGATTCCAAATCGCGAGGCACCATACGCCCCCAGCCCAGAGGAGCAGCAGCTGAGCTGACCTGTCCATCCCCGCCCTGATTCTTCTCAAACTGCTAGAATGTGAAGTGCAAATCCTTTCCCGCTAACCGAGCAGCAGAAGCACCCCATTGCGCGAAGCGCCATACGCCCAGAGGAGAATGACTCGTGATTGACAGTAGGGTTTCTTTCGACGCCTCTCTGTCTACATCCGTCCGTTGCCTGCCTGCGAGGCTGTCTGTGGCGGTGCGGATGGCTGTCTTGTCCTGTGGACTGTGGACGCCGAGAAGTGACACTCGCGTGTTCCCGGCTTTCAAGGTTTGAATCTTAGCAACGTTTTAGCGATCATCTGTGCTGAAAGCCTTGAAGGATTCCGTGATGGAGGGAAAGATGCACAGGTGTTGGGAGAGGAACAGTGCCATCACGTTTAGTAGCTTTTTTTTTTCCACCATTGGATCGCTCGTACCGCGGACGATTACTGTAACGATATGATAGTATGGTGCTGGGTGTCCTTCTGGATCTCAAGCGTCGTTAACTCGTTTTCGGTCAAGAATTAGCGGCGACCATGTCCGGTAGCGGCGAGCATTGTCCCTACCCTTACATATCTTCAGTTTCGTAGTAACGCGCGGTCATGGAAGCGACTTACGCAGCTCGACGGTTCGAGCCTGGGGGAGCCATGGCGGAGCGCCGTTTGGATCCGCGCCTTTTCGAACTGCACCCCTTCAACCCGCGCCTTTCCGATCCCATCATCACTCACGAGACGCGTCAAGCGCACCCATTAGAGCCCGTGACGTATAGTGGAGGCGAATCTGGAAGTTTCAAGTCGGGGGTAATGCGCGGTCGCGGAGATGGCGATACGGTTAAACGTATCAGTAGTGCGGCGGGCGCATCGGCCGATAGATCTCCCGGATGTCCTGCTGCGACTCCGCGACGCAGCGCATCGCGGCAGTCGTTCGACAGTCGCAACCCGTCGCAGTCGCAGGACGGACGTCGCTACCCATCGCATTCGTTCGATTTCGATAACGACTGGTGTAGGAGCGCAGATGCTTTTGCCGACCTTCGTGAAACGCCCCGCGCTGGAGGAATGCGAGGGGAGGCAGTTGCGCAGGTTGGCGCAGATTGCGCTTCCCCTCAACTCGGAAGGGGAAAGACGGCGGAGTCGCGTGGAACAAGCATGCGCACTTCGAGTCCGCTCAGCTGTCCCCAGCAGCGCCACGGAACGGTAACAGGAGGCTTGGGGACAGGCTCGAGGACAGGCTCGGGAACAGGCTCGTCACCGAACCACGAGTGGGAGAAGTCCGTCACGTCTCCAGCTTGTGGCGGCGGGATCTCCGCGGACGACGGCTTTTGGCGCCGCGCGGCGGAGGCCGGCGGGGCGACAGCATGGCGCGGGGACGGCGGCAGCGGCGGCGGCGGAGCAGCATGGCGGAAGCCCGGCGCGTTCCTCCCCCCCCGCCTCCTCCTCTGCACGGGGCCTCCCGCCGCCATCTCCCCGTGCTCGACGCTCGAGCGCCAGCTCAGCCCGTGCTGCTCTTCCGCTGCCACGTCAGCAGCGTCCAGCCCTTGCCCCGTGTCGAGTCCGCTATCGGCCGCGTTCAGCCCACTGTCCGCGCGCAGCGCCTCGCCGCTTGCCGACAAAATCCCCCCCAACCCGTTACCCGGAAGAAGCGCTTCCCCCTTTGCGGGGAGAAGCCGCTCTCCCCTTTCGAGAGGAAGCTTCTCCCCCTTCTCGGGGGGAAGCGCTTCCGCCTTGTCGGGGGGAAGCTCCTCTCCGGTTGCTGGCCGCGGTAACTCCTCGCCGCTATTCGGGAAAAACGCATCCGCGCTTTCTGGCGGAACCACCTCTCCGTTTCTTCCGCGCAGCCCTATGCCTCTCCGCAGCCCGTTACCCGCACTCGCGCCCTCCTCGCCCCTCCGCCCGCGCAGTCCTCTTTCCGTGCAGTCCCCCGTCTCCCCACATGTCAGCCCTGCGCATACACGTTCCGCCTCCGCCAAGAGCCCCCTTGCGCGGCGACCGCTCGGCCGCTCCGCCAGCCCCCTGAATACCGCTGCGCCGCACCCACCTGCGCCGCTCTCACCTGCGCCGCTCTCACCTGCGCCGCGTTCACCCGCAACCTTTGAGTCGACTCTAAAGTCGCCTCGACGAGGAGACGGAAGCAGCGGTTCCGTAAGCAGCGGTGGCGCAAGCAGCGGTGGCGGCGCAAGCAGCAACATCTCCTTGTTTCGAAGCAATACCAGCTGCAACGGTAGCAGCAGCAGCAGCAGCGCCACCTTTTTCCGCAGCGCCAGCAGCAGCAGCGGCAGCAGCAGCACCAGCGGAAGCGGCATCATCAGCGGCAGCAGCGGCAGTATCGGCGGTCACAGTTGCAACAGCAGTCCGATACGCGGAGGAGGGGCGCGCGCGGCGCAGGGGCCCGCGTTCGTGAGGCGACCCAGCCTGCTGTCGCGCGCACAACCGCCCGCCTCTCCTCCGGCCGTCTCCGCTCCTCCCGCCTCGCCTCCGCCATTGTCCTCTCCGCGCGCCTCCCCGCCATCAACCGCAACACGCGCTCAGCCTCCGCCGTCCGCTCACCCCCCCGCCTCCCCGTCCTTCTCCCCTCCGCCATTTTCCCGCAGTCAGCATCCGCTTTCCCCTTCCCCACTGCTCCCCCTCTCCTCAGCCTCCAAAGCGCGCCCAGTCTCCCCCCTGCGCCCAGTCTCCCCCCACCTGCGCCCCGTCTCCCCCCACCCGCGCCCAGTCTCCCCCAAAATGCGCCCAGTCTCCCCCCACCCGCGCCCAGTCTCCCCCAATATGCGCCCTAGTACCCCCCAGCGGTCCCCAGCAACCCACCCTGCGCCGTACGCATTGCGCCCTGTCTCGCCCGCCGCAATGCGCTCTGCATCGCCCGCGATGCGCCCTGCGTTGCCCCACCTTTCCCCCACCTCATACGCACCACACCCTCCCTCCCCCTCCCCTCTCCTCTCCCCTCCCCCGCTCCTCCGCGCCCCTCCTTTTCCCCTCCGCCCCACCTCCCCCCTCCTCCGCCCGACTTCCCCCACCCTTCCCCCGGCCACGCCGTCGTTCCTCCGACCATCCGCGCAATTTCCCTCATCCACTCAATCCCCCGCATCCGCGCAATTCCCCCCGTCTCCGCCTCTCCCGGGCACCACTTGCCATCCCACCAGCACCGCACCTAACCCTTCTGACCATCCCAACACTCCACCCTCTCCCAACCCTTTCCCCTCTCCTTCCTCGCTTCAACCTTCTTTCGCTCCTACCGCTCCCAACCTTTCCTTCTCTCCTAGACCGTCCCTCGCGCCGCCCACACCCTCGTGGAGCAGCGAGAAGGAAAGGCGAAGCGCAAAGGTAACAGCACCCGGCGCCGCCGCCGCCGCCGCCGTCGCAACCGCCTCTGCAGCACCAGCGTCAGCAGCAGCGGGAGAAGGAGGGGCAGTTGGCGCAGGAGGTGGAGGGGGAGGAGGAGGCGGAGGAGGAGCAGAAGCAGGGGGGAAGGCGAGGAGCGGAGGAAGAGGCAGCAAAGCGGGAGGAGGCGCGGAGGTGCGCCGAGCCGTGGGGCTGTCGGAGCTGGCAAAGGGGAGGGGCGCAGCTGGCGCGAGGGGCGCAGCCGGCATGAAGGGTGTGGGGGGCACGCAGGGTGTGGGGGGCACGCAGGGTGTGGGTGGTAGCAGGACGGCGACAGGGCAGCAGCGAGAGCGGTGTGCCAAGGCGGCGCCACGCGATCAGGAAACCTGCCACGAGAGCGTTGCTGCCGTGCCCGCTGCTCCCGCGTCCGCGACCGCTGCTCCCGTGCTCACAGTTTCTCCCGCCGTGGCTTCCCAGTCTCAAAGTCAACCTTCCCCACTCACGCGGAAAGACCTAGACCTGTCCCCACACATCGCCCCTCGCTCGTCTCACCCGCCTTGCTCCCCCCACGCGCCCTCCTCCCCCTACTCGCCGCGCTCCCCCTACTCGCCGCGCTCTCCCCGCACACCTCACTCCCTCCACACTTCCCGCGCTTCCCCCACTCCTCGCTCCCCACTACGGTCCATCACCCGTGATCCGCGCACAAACTCCCCTCTCTCCTCCCCACTCACTCCTCCCCATCCTCACTCGCTCTTCTCTCCCACCACCACCCCTCCTCGCCCTCCCCTCCCTTCACCCCTCTCCTCCTCCTCCTGCTCCACCCTCCCTGCTCCCCTCTCCTCTCCCTTGGGATCTCCAGCTCCGTCTCTCGCTCGCCGGGTCTCCACCTCAGCTTCGGGAGCTGGTTCGGCCTCAGCCTCTGGGGGATCACCCACGCGGAGCTGGAAAGAACGGCCCGATCCGTCAGGTTTGGCTCAAGGCCCGGGATCAGGCCCAGCATTGAGTAGGCTGAGCAGCAGCAGCAAGGAAGGGTGCGATAACCGTGACGGTCACACCACAAGCAGCAACAGCAACAGCAACAGCAACAGCAACAGCAGCAACAGCAGCAGCGGTGGTAACGCCAGCACCATCACCGCCACAAACGGCAGCAGCGGTGTGAAGGCAGCAGAGTTCCCATCGCTCCCGCGCCTGCGCATGCGCACCCCTCTCTCTCACAGCATGGACGCCCGCTCGCTCTCCCTCCTCCCCCTCTGCGCTCCCTCTGACGGGATAAAGCCACGTGGCGCTGCTGATTCAGCCAGTGTTGACGGTGGTGGTGGTGGTGGTGATGGTGGTGTTGGTGGTGGTAGTGGGTGTTATCATGACCAGTCGAAGCAGCTGAACCCAAACCAGCTGCTGCTGCAGGAGCAGCGAGAAGAGCAGCAAGAAGAGCAGCGAGAAGAGCAGCAGGAGGAGCTTAAGGCGGAGCCGAAGCTACTCCAAGGCAGGCAGCAGCAGCCGGAGGAAGAGAAGTGGCAGCAATCGCAGCAGCAGCAGCAGCAGCAGCAGAGGAAGGGGCAGGAAAGGCAGCAGAAGCAGCAGGGGGAGGCACGGGTGCGGCGAGGCAGCGTGGCAGTGGACGGCATGGGCGACTCGTTCCAGGATTTCAGGAGCCTGCGGCCGGCAGAGTTTGTCCTACGCCGCACATACTCAGACGTACACGCCTCCTACAGCATAGACTACCAGGGAGCCCCTCTTGGCACCGGGCAGTTTGGGGTGACCAGGAGGTGCGTGAGCAAGCGCACAGGGGAGGAGCTAGCGTGCAAGACAATAGACAAGGCGAGCATCAAGACGCATGAGGATGCGGAGGACGTGAGGAAGGAGGTGGCTTGCCTGGAGCTGCTGGCTGGGCACCCCACTGTCGTCACCATCAAAGATGCATTCGAGGATGCTCAGGTCAGTTGTGACCCACCACGACTCATGATTCCCGTTATTCCACAGCGCGTACACATCATCATGAAATGAGTCGATTTTTGAGTCGACTAAAAAATCGACTCGTGATTCCCGCTATTCCACAGCACGTACACGTCGTCATGAAGCTCTTCACATGTAGCAGTATCGCCATGCCACCACTCCACTAACACTCTGTTTCCTCTCCTCTCTCCTCCCCTCCCTTTCCCTCCCTTTCCCTTCCCCTCCTCCGCCCCACAGCATGTGCACATCGTCACCGAGCTCCTACCGGGCGGCGATCTCTTCGACAGAATCAGATCGCTCCGCCGCCTCTCCGAGTCGGCTGCCGCCCGCCTGTGCGCCGCCCTGATCGAGGCCCTGCTGCACTGCCACTGCCGCGGCATCGCCCACCGCGACATCAAGCCCGAAAACATCCTCCTTACAAGCCTCTCCTCCGACTCCGATATAAAGCTCATCGACTTTGGCGTCGCAACATCCTTCCAACGCGGCGTGCCTTTAACAGACGCGGTCGGGACTCCCGAATACATGGCTCCGGAGGTGCTCCGGCAGAGCTACGGTCCCGAGGCGGATATATGGAGCGCCGGGGTGGTGCTTTACGTGGTACTTAGCGGCGCGCCCCCGTTTTGGGGGTCTAAAAGCAAGTCGGTGGTGGAGAGGATACTCAAGAAAGAGGTGGCATTCAGAGGGGCCAAGTGGGAGGGCGTGTCGGAGGAGGCTAAGGACCTAGTTGCCCGCATGCTGGTGAAGGATGCAAGCAAAAGGATCGGCGCTCTCGAGATTCTCGGTGAGTTGTGAATCGAGGGTTTTTAAGTCTGCTGTACATTGCGGGTTTGATTGAGGGTTTCTTTGAGTGGGTTTCTTTGACGATTGGGGCTCTCGAGATTCTCGGTGAGCTGTGCAACCTGTTACAATGTGCAACTGTTGCGATGGCCCACAGCATTCAAGCATGCCAGTCACTAGCTGTCCCCCTAAGCCTCCCTGCCTCGACTAACATCGTGTCTTTTCTCCTGCCTTGCCTTTCCCGCGTGTCCCTGATTCGTCTCTTTCTCTCAGAGCACCCGTGGATTCAGAAATGGAAGCTTGCTCCTCGCACGTGAATCGTGGCGTGAAGGTTACACCGGACGTACAACAGAGATACACCAGAGTTACACTGGAGAAGTTGCACCGGAGTTTCACATGGTGTAGCAGTGGATACTGGCTGAATCCCGATCCGTAGTTGTCTGTAAGGTCTACCTGCCGGGATGACTGTGATGAAGGGCTTTACCGCACCACCAAGAGGAGAATAAAGGCAGATTTGGTTCTCATTGCACAGGACCCGATTGCAACTGACCCGAGGAGGAACTGGGAGAATCCTCGCGTTTTTTAGTGCAACGATGGTGCTTTGTTGAAGGCACTTTCTGGCTGAAAGGAGTCTCGGGAGGAGCAGACTCAGCTGTGGGGTGTGCTTTGGCGAGAGCATAGCCCATGTTGTATACTATGTAGAAAGCAAGGGGACTGTCAAGGGGGAGAATCCGTAAGGATATCTTTCTGAAGGTACACTCGTTTGTTATTTGAATAATTTCATTTCATTAATTTATTCATTTTATCAAAAGTACATGCTTCGTGTGTTTGAGTGCGAACGGTTTTTTCAGTGGACTCATGCGTCGACTTTATCACACGAGAACAGGCTTGCCTTGCCATACAGTGTACTTTTCCGGAGGCAACCGTAACGGACGCATAATAGGTTGAAAGCCAGTCGTAGGTCGATGCACCACCTGACACGCAGCGGCGGCGGCGGCGGCGACAGGATTCAGCTACCCCTGCTTGCAATGTAGCATTCACATCACGCACGTTCTCTGTCACATGTGCCGTGCCGTCTCTTGAGTGTTCCAGGCTGATTTTGAGGCGCCTTAAATGCACAGAGAGTGTTATGGCGTCTCAAACTTGGATGTAGCTTCAATAAATCCTCACCCCGTTCACAGTCAGTGTCCATGGCGGTTCCGACGCTCTCCTGTCGCGAATGCGCCTGTTAGATTAGACGTTTGGCACCATATTATCTCATAACGAGGATGAAGCTGTTCGCGTTTATCGAGTTTCTCCGCGCGTCGCTGTCCGCACGCGACGTGCTCGTCTCCCTGCTCGCCCTCACCCTCGCCTGCCACGTGGCACGCGTTCCGCAATGCGCGGACCTCTCCCATTGGCGCGTCGTCGTCAGCAGCCAGTCAAAACTCGCGACGCTTCCGGAGCGCCTCATGGTAGACCAAATCAACGTCGATGCGCGACTCGAGTCGCAGGAGCCGCACGAATCGCAGGAAGCAGTGAAGCAGTTGAATATAACAGGTGACAAAGTCTTGCCTGAGCAACCACAGCCGCAGAAGCAGGTGACCGTTCCGTCAACTCGAAACGCAGCTGAGCTTGAGAGTCAACCTCACGAGTCCACGCTAAGAATTCTCAAGAATGACTCACTGTTGACTCGAGTTCAGCCGCTGGAAAACGGCGGTCGAAGAAAGCTTGCTGGCAGCAGCCGCAGCTACAATGCCGCACCAGGACGTTCAGGTCCGGGCCGAGCCTCGCCAACAGGTTCAGGAATTGCCTCTTCCGAACCAACCCAGGCTCGGCATTTCCCGTCCCTCGCGCTGTACACAGCTCCTATCGGGTACAACACGACCATGACGGCTTTAAAGCGCGCCGTGCTCTCGTGGCTGCGCCTCGCGCCGCCTCCCTATACTCCTCATGTGTATTTAATAGGCTCGCACCCTCTTAACTACTCCCGGCCGCATCCGTCTCTGGTTTGGCTGGCCCGGCAATTCCCAAGGCACGTGCACGCTATAGGCGGAAAAGGGGACATGGTGGGAGGGGGAATGCAGGGAGGAGGCGTGGATGTGACTTATGACGGTGTGACTAAAATGAATTCGCTGTTTGCTCTGGCGATGCGGGAGCAGCGGGCGGATGTAGCAGCGGTGATAGACCCTGACGTGGTGCTCTTGGGGGACGTGATGGCGGCTGTAGCGCGGCTGACGTGGCAGGAGGAGCAGGAGCGACGGGAGATGAGGAAGTGGGAGAGAGGGTGGTGGAGGGGAGTGGGGGGGGAGGGAGGGGGAGGCGGAGAGAGAGGAGGAGGACGTGAGAGGAGAGAGGAGGCACAGAGGCAGGCTGCTGAGACGAAAAGACTCCTTCACTCCCTCAACATCCTCCTCTTCCTCCTCGTCCTCCTCTTCCTCCTCTTCCTTCTCTTCTCCCTCTCCTCCCCTCTCCCCCCGATGGATTCTCACCTCTTCTCTCTGGCGAGTGTCCTGGTTCCCCATTGTTCTCGACAATCTTCCACCGGAAATCCAGCCGGCCAATCACAAGCCGCCAGCTGGTGTGGACGAGGCGGGAGTAAGGAGGTTTCTGAGGCGGCATGCTGAGCTGGACAGTGGCGGGCTGATCGGGTTTGTGATGTGGAGCCAGAGACAGTTCCGGGAAGCTTCCTCTGCTGCGAGCATAGCTGCACAACAAACAGCTACAGCAGCAGCAGTGGGAGGAGGAGGAGGAGGAGCAGGAGGGATAAGGGGAGGAGGAGGAGGGGAAGGAGGGGAAGGAGAAGGTGAAGCAGCAGGCAATGTAGCAGCGTTCGACCGAAACGGGTTGCGGGTTTCGTTGTTTCCTGAGCCGATGCCGCCCTTTTTGTACGGGCGGGGCCCTCAGGGGTGGCAGTGGGTGCTTCGGCAGCTGGCTTGGGCAAGCCGAGGGACGGGTAGTGCTAGTGGTAGCAGCACGGGCAGGGAGGGGGCTGACAGAGGGCAAGAACGAGAAAGGAGGAAGAGAGAGGCACTGGTGGGAGGGGGGGGAGTGGAGGGCAGGTGGGGGCACAGACGAGTGTGGTACTGGATGGGGGGCGTGGACGGGAAAAGTGCTGCAGTGGATCGGGGGAGGGGGCTTGGGGATTATGCAATGGCCGAGCATGACTTGGTGCATGTGGTTGGTCCGTTGGGTAGGGAGGGGAAGGTGGGAGGGGTGAGTAGGGAGGGTGTGGTGCATGTGGTTGATGGCACGGGTGCCGTGTCTGCTGTTCGCATTGACCCTCACTATGACTCGGTGAAAGAGGCCGAGCGGGCGAGGGGGGGTGCGGAGCAGGGCAGGAGAATGGGTGGGGGGGATGGGGAGAGGGGGAGGAGTGGGAGGTGGGTGGCGCTGCCAGCTGTGCATAGTGCCACGTGGCATGGGCAGGTGAATGAGATGCTGCTGCGAGGGGGAGTGGGGGACTGGGGGGAAGTACTGGGGGAAGGACGGCGGGAGGGAAGGGGGGAGGGACAGGGGACGGAAGGGGCCGTTGGGGGTATGAGAGAGGGAGTTGGAGGGGAGGAGGAGGGGGAGGAGGGGGGAGAGATCGCATGGGAGTGGAAGAGGTTGGGAGGGGAGCCTACAGTGGCGCATCTGCGATGGCATCTGGCCACGTGCCATGGGCCCGAAGGTGAGTGATATGGCATGGGCCAGGTGGTGAGTGAGATGGCACGGCCCGCGTGGTGAGTGAGATGGCATAGTATGGATGTGCGAGCGATGGCATGGTAATGATGGTGATTGTGTGCGATGGCATGGTAATGATGGTGATTGTGTGCGATGGCATGGTAATGATGGTGATTGTGTGCGATGGCATGGTAATGATGGTGATTGTGTGCAATGGCATGGTAATGATGATGATTGTGTGCGATGGCATGGTAATGATGGTGATTGTGTGCGATGGCATGGTAATGATGGTGATTGTGTGCGATGGCATGGTAATGATGGTGATTGTGTGCGATGGCATGGTAATGATGGTGATTGTGTGCGATGGCATGGTAATGATGGTGATTGTGTGCGATGGCATGGTAATGATGGTGATTGTGTGCGATGGCATGGTAATGATGGTGATTGTGTGCGATGGCATGGTAATGATGGTGATTGTGTGCGATGGCATGGTAATGATGATGATTGTGTGCGATGGCATGGTAATGATGGTGATTGTGTGCGATGGCATGGTAATGATGGTGATTGTGTGCGATGGCATGGTAATGATGGTGATTGTGTGCGATGGCATGGTAATGATGGTGATTGTGTGCGATGGCATGGTAATGATGGTGATTGTGTGCGATGGCATGGTAATGATGGTGATTGTGTGCGATGGCATGGTAATGATGGTGATTGTGTGCCGCAGAAGAATTAGGTACTGGGTTTGGGATGGCGGGGTGAGAAGTCGATTTTTGAGTCCGACTTTAAAATGGGGGGGTGAGCCAATAGTGGCACATTCGCGGTGGCATGTGGCTGGGAGGTGAGATGGCATGGCATGAGTTGCAAGGTGAGGTGGCATGGCATGAGTTGCAAGGTGAGATGGCATGGCATGAGTTGCAAGGTGAGGTGGCATGGCATGAGTTGCATGGTGAGATGGCATGGCATGAGTTGCAAGGTGAGATGGCATGGCATATGTTGCAAGGTGAGATGGCATGGCATGAGTTGCAAGGTGAGATGGCATGGCATGAGTTGCAAGGTGAGATGGCATGGCATGAGTTGCAAGGTGAGATGGCATGGCATGAGTTGCAAGGTGAGATGGCATGGCAGTTTATGTTATGGTGGTGCTTGCTGCTGCCATATTAGGAGCGGGCAGGAGCTGCACACCTCTTGCAACGGGGGTGCTGCTTCACTCTCTTGGACAATCCTGAATGGAATGTGGCTGTCCAATCATTTTCTCTGCCTTCACTCTCATCCCACCCACCCACTCAGCCGAGCACCCCTGTATCATGCGTCGCATCCGCCCCGGCAGCTGCCCGTACGAGCACGCCCAAGCCTCCTGCAACAGGGGTTCTCTGCTCCTGCAACAGGGGTTCTCTGCTCCTGCAACAGGGGTTCTCTGCTCCTGCAACAGGGGTTCTCTGCTCCTGCTCCCCTGAATGGGATGTGGCGGTTCAACCATTCCCTCTGCCTTCCCACTTACATCCCACCCCCCAGGTGAACACCCCTGTCTCATGCGTCGCATACGCCCTGGCATCTGCCCCTGTGAACTTGCCCACGCCTCCCGCTGCTCCTCCCTCCCCTCCGCCCCCTTCCGTGCCGGTCCCTACTTCGCCTGCTCCCCTGAACCTCCGCCTCCCCCTCCCCGGCCGGTACTCGCTATAAGCCTCCCCAATACCTCGGTTTTGACATTTGTGAGAACAAAAAGTGCTGTAGCCGGGGAAAAGGGGATGGAGTCAGTGGGGCGCCTGGAGGGAGGGGGTGAGACCAGACAAGGTGGGGAAGAGGTAGAGGTGGTGCAAGCACGGGGGTTAGAGGAGGTGGTGGGGGAGGTGGCGGATGGGTACAAGGCGGTGGTGCTTGTGGCGGTCACCTACCACTATGCCTCCATGCTTCTCAGCTTCGCTTGCATGTGGGTGCGTCATTCTTTCATGTGTGCTGCTGTATTGTGAAAGCCTGGCTTTGCTTTGATCCGGGATCTTCTCTCGGGTCCCTTTCTTTTTGCAACGTTTGGTTCAGGTGTGTGTTTCTCCTTCCTCCTTTCTCCTCTTGCGCTTTATGATGTTTTCCTTCCGGTCTCATTTTGTCAGGTGGCATGGCACATGGCACGTACATGGCACGTACATGGCACATGGCACGTACATGGCACATGGCACGTACATGGCACATGGCACGTACATGGCACATGGCACGTACATGGCACATGGCACGTACATGGCACATGGCACGTACATGGCACATGGCACATACATGGCACATGGCATGTACATGGCACATGGCATGTACATGGCACATGGCATGTACATGACACATGGCATGTTTGTATTCTAGTTCGTGCCATGTGCAACCTATTCTTCTCTCAGTTTCCTTCTTCTCCCCTTCCCCTCCCTTCAGGCTCCGCCGTCTCTCAGTGCCCAACCTGCTGGTAGCAGCTCTCGACCCCTCGGCCTACCGCATCGCTCTCCTGCACGGCCTCCCCGTCTTCTACGACAACACCACTGCAGCACCAGCGTTGCCAAGAGATGCACAAGGAGCAAACGGAGCACAAGGAGCAAACGGAGCAGAGGGAGCAGAGGGAGCAGAGGGGTTCGGGGCAGGCGGCTGTGCGTTCAACAGCCACTGCTTCCGGCACTACACCAAGCTCAAGAGCCGCGCCGTGCTGCGCGTGCTGCGGCTGGGCTATGCTGTGCTGTGGAGCGATGTGGATGTGGCGTGGTTTGAGAATGCCATGCCCATGCTGTGGCAATATGGGGATGGGGTGCTGGCGATTCAGGTGAGGAGGGGTTGCGGTGGGCTGTACATGACTTCGCTCATGGCATTGTATCAGCTTCCTTCCCTGTGTGGCGGGTGCTGCGGATGGGCTATGCCGTGATGTGGAGTGATGTGGACGTGGCGTGGTCTGAGAATCCGCTGCCCATGCTATGGCAGTATGGAGAGGGGGTGCTAGCAATACAGGTGAGCGGTTGTGCTGTACAGGAGTGGCTCCGCTAAACCAGAGCAACAAGCCTTACCCCCCTTCTCCCAGTCAACTCCTCTTGCCGCATCAACAGTGGCTTCTACCTCGCTCGCCCCTTTGATCTCTTCTGGGAGCCACTCATTTCTGCATGGTGTTTTGTGCACTGTATGTATGCCACTTCCTCCCCCTTCCCAACCCACCATCAGAGCAACGAGCCCGACCCCTCGCTCCCACCCAACGCCATCCGCCGCATCAACAGTGGATTTTACCTCGCTCGCCCCGACCCCCTCACCATCGCTGCTCTCACTGCTGTGGTCAAGCACGCGGCACACTCACGGCTGTCGGAGCAGCCTTCCTTCTATGATGTGCTGTGTGGGGAGCACGGGGAAAGGCGGGTGAGTGAATTGTTCTGTCTGAACGTTACTCAGCTGCAGATTTTCCCTGGCACATGCTGCTGTCACTCTCACTCACTGCTGTGGTCAAACATGCCGCACACTCACGGCTGTAAGAGCAGCCGTCCTTCTATGATGTGCTGTGTGGGGAGCATGGGGAGCGAAGGGTAAGTAGCTTGCTCTGCTCTCTCTCACCATCGCTTCTGTTCTTCTCATTCACTCATCCTGCCGCACATTCACTGTGCTCATCCCATCCCATCACCTATGCTATCCTACCTGCTGCATGCCAGGCTTTTGAGACGTCTGAAAAGTCATCCCATCACCTATGCTATCCTACCTGCCGCATGCCAGGTGGGCTCTGATGCGTGCCAGTGGACCAATGGCCTGCGAGTAGTCTTCCTGCCGCGTCAGCAGTTTCCCAACGGGGCAGTTTACCAGCTGTGGGGGCCCAGGGAAGGAGATGCTGGCAGTGGGCAAGGGGAGGTGTTATCTGGTGCTGATGGTGAGGGGGAGGTGGTATCTGCTGGGAGTTCAAGTGCGAGGGACGAGTGTGAAAGAAGAGGGTGTGTGATTCTGCACAATAACTGGATCGCAGGTGGGTTGTCCTAGCAGCTTCAACACTTCCAAATACAGCACTTGTATCAGCTGCGGTTGCCTCTATTCAACTCTCCTCCCCATCCTCATCCCCACCCTTGTTATTTACCAAAAGAACATTATGTGAGCCTCTCCCTTCTCCCCACTTCCCCTTCTTCCCTTCCCCGTTCCACCTTGCTCTAATTTCAACCATTCATGTGCGATGGGATCCCATGTTTTACCACCTCTTCATTTGCTAACTCGACCTCCCCACCACTTGCAGGCTACGATGCAAAGGTGTCGCGCATGAAGAACCATAAACTATGGTACCATGACGCCACAAACCACATGTGCATCAATCTGTAGTGCAGTTTTACATGATGCGCAATTCAGTAAAAATGTTTCACATACAGCAGAAGCTCATATATTATTCGATGTGATCAATTTTGCTGCTGGACATAATTATTTATACATTTCCGTTACATTTTATCAATGATCGCCGGAGCAACTCCCCATTCGCGACCAATCGCCGCTTGACTTCCAGCCAACTCTCGAAAATTGTAAGGAATTTTCTCGGCATTCCTTACGGAGCCCGACTACATCGCGTATAGCAACAGCCGTTGTTTGCTCGTTACTGTTAACGGGACTTCGCCAACTTCGCGCGCACTGTTTTGCCAAACCTCGCACTGCTGGCCCGGCCGTGTCGGCCTACGCTCCGGGACTAGCCCGAGCCTCGCTGCCAGCGTAGCACTAGCTAGCTCGCACGCACTGCGTTACCGTTAGCATGTTCGCGTATAAATGTTCGCTCTTGCCTTCACTCACATCGTTGTACTCGTTTTGACACTGCAATTCTCGCTACTTAGATTCATTGCACCCGTAACAAAAGTAAATAACTCGCCAGCTCCAGTAATCTTCGCATAAGCATGTCCGGGTTACCCCCTGCCACTATTTTCCAAATTTTGCCTAGATTTTGGGGGCGGCGGAAGGCGCAGCGCTTTATCAGCTTTTGTTCTTGCGGGGAAACCGATATATCTCCCTCATTGTACGGGCCTCGCTGTATCATTGGTGCATTTCAATAATTTACCGCACTTCGTTGCGCCTGCGACGCGCAACGACCGAGAAACGACAAGAGCCGAGCGACGAGCGACGGGCGACGATGTCGCTAGGGTTTGCGCGCGACAGCGCGGCGGAGGTGCGACTAGACGCCGCCTTGCAGCGACTCCGCGCGCTCGACTCGAGCGTGCGGCCGTCGTCGATTGTCGCCGTCGGGGATGCCCTCCCGATCGGCGCCGATGCATCCTTCCTCAGGTAACGCCGTCCTTAGCTTTCTCAGGTAGAACCCTTCTCAAGTAGCACCTTCCTCAGGTGATAAATTCTACTGTGGGATGCTCACTGCGTCTGCAATCACGCTAACACTTAGTAGCTAACAATGCTGCTGCTGCTGCTGCTCTGCTTTGCTCCTCCTCCCTCTCTGTGCGCCTGGATGGAATCGGCAGGGGGCACGGCACGAGGGAGGGAGAGGAGGGGCAGGTGTGTGCCACGGTGTGCGGCGTGGTGAAGCGCATCAACCGCCTGCTCTCCGTGCAGCCGCTCAAGACGTGGTATGGGCTGTGGGCTGGGCTGGGCTGTGGGCTGGGCTGTGGGCTGGGCTGTGGGCTGGGCTGGGCTGTGGGCTGGGCTGTGGGCTTGGCTGGGCTGTGGGCTGGGCTGTGGGCTTGGCTGGGCTGTGGGCTGGGCTGGGCTGTGGGCTGGGCTGTGGGCTGGGCTGTGGGCTGGGCTGTGGGCTGTGCTGTGCTGTGCTGTGCTGTGATGTGCTGTGCTGTGATGTATTGTGTTGTGTCGTCAGGGAATATCATGTGGATTGGTATGTGGTCGAGCGTGCATGCCATGTGTGGTGAAGCTCATCAACTGCCTGCTCTCCTCTCCTCTCCTCTCCTCTCCTCTCCTCTCCTCTCCTCTCCTCTCCTCTGCTCTGCTCTCCTCTCCTCTCCTCTCCTCTCCTCCTCTCCTCTCCTCTCCTCTCCTCTCCTCTCCTCTGCTCTCCTCTCCTCTCCTCTCCTCTCCTCTCCTCTGCTCTCCTCTTCTCTCCTCTCCTCTCCTCTCCTCTCCTCCTCTCCTCTCCTCTCCTCTCCTCTCCTCTCCTCTGCTCTCCTCTCCTCTCCTCTGCTCTCCTCTCCTCCCCTCTCCTCTCCTCCTCTCCTCTCCTCTCCTCTCCTCTGCTCTCCTCTCCTCTCCTCTGCTCTGCTCTGCTCTCCTCTCCTCTCCTCTCCTCTCCTCTCCTCTCCTCTCCTCTCCGTGCAACCGCTCAAAACCTGGTGCGTGGCGGTGCTTTGTCATGTCTTGTGATATGATATCAGGTGTTCAAGTCATGTCATGTCATGTCGTGTCGTGTCGTGTCGTGTCGTGTCGTGTCGTGTTGTGTCATGTGCTTCAAGTGTAGGGCAAGCCTGGTAACAGAGACGTGGTGGTGGGGCGCGTGGCAGAGCTCGTCCCCAAGTGTAAACTTTCAGTTTCTCCCCTCTTCGCCCTCCCCTTCTCCCCCATTAACCCTTTCTCCCCATACCCCAGGCACGTGGCGCAGACAGGAGAAGTGGTGGTGGGCCGCGTGACAGAGCTCGCCCCCCAAGCGGTGGACAGTGGGGCACTGCAACAGTGGAGCATAACAACCCAACCCACCTTCTTCCCATCCCTCCCTTCTCCCCACACTGAATGCAGGTACGTAGCGCAGACAGGAGACGTGGTGGTGGGCTGGGTGACAGAGCTCGCCCCAAGCGGTGGAAGCTGAATGTGCAAAAAAACACCCCTCTCTCTCCCCAACGCCCCTCATCTCCTCTCCCTCACTCCACCCCCCCTCTGCAGGTACGTGGCACAAACAGGAGACGTGGTGGTGGGGCGGCTGACAGAGCTCTGTCATGTGCCACGTACTTTGGGGAATGACAGAGCTCACCCCCCAAGCGGTGGACAGTGGAACACTGCACCAGTCCCCCCTCACCTCCCCACCTCCCCACCCTCCCCCCCTCCCTCCCTCTCTCCCCATACCCCAGGTACGTGGCACAAACAGGAGACGTGGTGGTGGGGCGGGTGACAGAGCTCGCCCCCAAGAGGTGGAAGCTGGCTGTGGGGTCGGCGCATGAAGCACAGCTCATGCTCTCCGCTATCAACCTGCCGGGAGGAGCCCAGGTGAGGAGGAGGTAGGTGAGGAGAGGAGGCGGGCTCGTCGTAAGGTGCTTGTGGGGGAGAGAAGGGGTGGGGGGGGGAAAGAAGCGGTGGAAGCTGGATGTGGGCGTGGGGTTGGTGCAGGAGGGAGGCACAGCTCGCGTGCCATTATAACGAGGTGACTTTTGAGTCGCCTCAAAAGTCACCTCGTGGGGTTGGTGCAGGAGGCATACCCTGTGAGCAACCTGCTGAGGGGTTGGAGTGCAGCTGAGACTGTGTCAAACAGGATGAGGCAGAGGGTACTAAGGAAGGTCGAAGTGCAGCCGTGATAGAGTGGTGCCAATGTTATCACAGCTTTTTCTATCCAAGAGCGCTTTGTTTTCTGTGCATGCGTCATCCATGACTCTCCTTTTTCTCACCCCTCATCTCGTTGTATTTCCCTGTCTTGTACCAGAGGCGGCGCACAGCAGTGGATGAACTGAACATGAGGAACATCTATGTGGAGGGGGACCTTGTCACGGTGAGTAGAGTAGCGCTCCTTGCGGCGCCGCTAAAGTCTCCTCTTCACTTCTCTACTGTGGATGAGCTGAACGTGAAAGCATGAGGAGCATGTACAGAGTAGCACGTAGATGGTTAGTGGAGGTCTAGGTCAAGTCAAGGCATGATTGTTTGTGTGAACGGTAGTTGGGATCAATGTGTGCAATGGCCGGCAGTGCCTCTTTGTCGCACGGATCAGTGTTTTGACGGTGCTGTGTTTGTTGTGAGAGTTTGTATTGTCCAGCGTATTTTTGTGATATTTATCTGTCTCAGAATGGCACGATCCGATTGTTGCACAGGTGAAGGATCAAATCATGAGTTGTTCTTTTTCTTCTAAACTCCTCTTCTTCTTCACCCCCATGGTTACAGGCAGAGGTCCAGAGTGTGTTTCATGATGGCTCGGTGGTGTTGCACACTCGCAGCGATAAATATGGCAAGGTATTGATGAAAAGTGCTCTAATTTGAGACGTCTTGTAACTCCGTATATGACCAGGTTTAGTTGGATGGAGTTTTATTTCGCCCGTGGTTATGACAAGGGGGTGCTAGGCGTCATGAATCGTCATGAACCTCATGCCCTTCTGTTCCCATCCCCCATGCACTGTTCCACTGCAGTTGTCAGGGGGTCTACTTGTGCACGTCCCCCCATACCTCGTACGCCGCCTCAAGCAACATTTCCACATGCTCTCGCCCTCTGGCCCGCTCCTTGTCTTTGGCTGCAATGGCTGGCTCTGGGTGGGCCAACCGCCTCCCCCCACCTCTTCATCCGGCCCATCTGGAACCCAGGGTGAAGGGGCTAGCGGGGGTGTTGGTGGCGGTGCTGGTGGAAAAGGTGCGGCTGAAACGGCTGTGGGTGTGGAGGAGCGGGAGAGGATTTGTCGAGTGGCGGCGGCGATTCGGGCGCTAGAGAGGGGAGGTTTGGCGGTGGATCCGCCGGCGCTGGCGAGAGTGGTGGAGTGGAGCGTGGCGATGGGCGTGTCGGTGGCGGAGATGGGTGATGAGGATTTTGTCGCGACTGTTGTGGAAAAGGAGGTGGAGAAGAGGGAGGCTGATGCGGCGGAGGGGAGCTGAGTGTGTCACTTTGCTGGAAAGGTGACACTAAATTGAAATAGATGCATGCTGGCAAAGGACATTTAGTTAAAAATCATCATTCCTAGCTTCTTAGTCTAAGAGAGCCCTCACGTTTTTCGTTTGGAAGCAGTTTGTCGGAATTACAATAGCGAGTATATACCCTTTGCGGCCTCGCGATACTGTTGTGTACACTCCAAAAGGCAGTGGCACTGATTGTCGCACCTACTGTATATACTTCCATTTGCAGGTTGAAACTCCAGCTAAATGTAATGCATTTATTACCAAGACCTGGGTACAGTTTTTGGCCGTACGTTTGTACGTCTTGTCGGGCAGCGGGATGGAAAGGGCAACATCAGCAGCAGCCTCCATTGCAAACTCTGACGGGGCACCATCAACAACCCCACATGGGTGACGTCACTAGACAAGCCAACACTTCACAGAAGCAGTTCGAGTGTCGTGTCGTCGACTGACAAAATTAGGTCACTCTACTTAGGTAGTTAATATATTCGCGGTTCCTCAGAACCCACAGACCCCGTCTTACCGCAATTAACTTTACCTGTCTGTCGTCCTTATTTTTTCCACTACTCTAAGTAGCTTTTATTGAAATTTCATTCAAACCCATGTCACCTCAGTCTGAGATCAATGCAAGTCACATTCCGCATACTGAGGCGTATCTGACGGTCTAGGTGAACGCATGGAAGTAGCATTTCAATCGACACATTTGACTTCTCGACCGCATCAACCAGCATTACTAGCACTCGCCGCTGAGCCCGCCGCAATGGACGCGTTCGCGTCCGAGGATCGTTACAATGAGTATTCTTTGCAAGCTGACTATAACGAGTACGGAGCGCGAGACGCTACGGGGAATGATTCGCATGAGCATTTTCACGATGGTTACGCGTACGAGGGTAACGATTATGATAATTCAGGCTATGACAATCCTGCTGATGAGCTGTACGGTGATCATCATGACACGTGGCACGAGCAACCGCAGATGCCACAGCACCAACAGCACCAGCAGCAACCCCAGCAGCAGCAGCAGCAGCAGCAGCAGCAGAAACAGCAGAAAGGAAGGAAGGTCAAAGTAAAGGCGTCAACACAACAAGCAGTCTCAAGAAGCAGAAGCACCGAGGAAACTATAAGATGGGGGCCTGGTGAAAGGTACAAGGAGAGGGGACGGGGGCGACACAGGGATAGTTATAACGACGTGGAGTATTTAAGAGACGAGGAGAGCGGAGAAGCGGAAGAGGAGGGAGACGACGTAGGGGTATCCGGAGGAGAGGAGTTCAATAACGGGGATGGCGGGCTTCGGGTGATAACCAGCAGTGAAGTCTGTAACGCGGACAACAGCTGTGCTGTTGTGGGGGAGGTTGTGGATCCGATAGAAGACGTTCCGAAGCCTAATAACGAGTGGGACGACATTCCATTGGGTTACTCTATCTCCACGCCGGTGGGAAACTACCCTAACCAACATCCGGATGCGCTAAGACAGAGCATCTTCAAACGAGGACGTGGTGTACAGGTCTTGGACGAGAAGCAATTAGAAGAGCATAAGCAGCGGCAGGAGCAGCAACAGGAGCAGGAGCAGCAGCAGGGAGGGGGCTTACCAGGGGAGGAGCATTTAGATCCGTGGCTGAGAGGGCCTGTGAGAAAGGTCAACGCGTGGTTTGAAACAGCAGCAGTAGTGGATCCTAACGTTGTTCCTCCTCTTCCTCTCCCTGCTCCTGCTGTTCCTGTCGCTCCTGCTGGTGGTGCTGCTGGCGGTGGTGGTGGTGCTGCTGCTGCTGCTGCTGCTGCTGCTGTTTCCGCATATAATGAAGGTGTTAATATTGAGAGGAATGATGCTCCTGCTGACCTCAGCAGGGGTATGGACGGTGGAGGTGCGATCTGGGAGCAGCAGGAAGGTGAGTGTGACTACGAATTCCGTGACAGAAACGAGGGCCAGGCAGGGGTGCGTGAGGCTGGGAAGCGAGGGTCTAGAGGGGGGAGTGGAGGTGAGGGAAGTGCTTATAAAGGGCGGGATGATGGCGATTTGTTCGGTGGGGATGGTAGGGATGCAGAGGGATGGGAAGTGGTGGACGAGGGGCAGGAGGAAGAGGAGGGAGAGGAAGGTGTGGGAAGGGAGAAGGGCGGAGGAGATGAGGAGGAGGAGGAGGAGGAAGTCGACGAGGAAGTGGGGGGAAGGAGAAGGACCGGGGATTCAAAAGACGATTCATTTGAAAATGGCGGAGTGTACTGTGGTGCTGTCTATAACGAGCATGATGAGGATGCTTATGGCGGGTATGGCGGGCAGGGGTTGGGGGTGGATAGGAGAGGTGGGAGAAGGGGGTTTGGGGGAGTTGGAGAGGAGGGAGAGGAGGAGGAGGAGGAGGAGGAGGAGGAGGAGGAGGAGGAGGAGGAGGAGGAGGAGGAGGAGGAGGAGGAGGAGGAGGAGGAGGAGGAAGAGGAGGAAAGGGAGGAGGAAGAGGAGGAAAGGGAGGAGGAGGATTTTAATCAGCAAAGACAGTCTCAAAAGGAAACTGATTCCCAGGGGTATTCACAGGTGCAGGCGCAGGGGACCACACAGGGGCGTGCACTGGTATCAGCGCGTGATGGGATGCGGGCGGTGGGAGGGGGAGGGGAGGATGAGAAGGCACGATGGGCAGAAAAATGCGCTTCTCGGTTGAAGGAGTGGGAGAGAGAGGAGGATGAGGATGATGATGAGGATGGCGTGGGGGAGGGGAGAGGGGACGGTGGAGAGAGGGGAGAGGATGAAGAGGAGGAAGAGGAGGAAGAGGGGGAGGAGGAGGAGGAGGGGAAAGGGGGTGCGGACATGTATGGAGAAGACTACCGGTTTAATAGAGATGGGGAGAGTGGGTATGGAGACAGGGGTCATGAGGAAGAGGAGTATGGGAAGGTGGAGCATGGAGACGGGGAGTATGAAGAGGGGGAGTATGGAGAGCGGGAGCATAGAGCAGGGGGGTATGGTGAGGGGGGGTATGGTGAGGGTGGTTATGGAGAAGAGGGGCACAGAGAGGGGGAATACGGAGGGGGGGGGCATGGCAGGGACGGGTATGCAAATGGAGAGGGTGCAGGAGCCTGGCAGGAGGAGCACCAAGGGGAGGACGCAGGAGGGCATATGGGAGGGGCAGTGAGAGGGCAGATGGGCGGGCAGATGGGCGGGCAGATGGGCGGGCAGATGGGCGGGCAGATGGATGATATGTATGGGTCGTTTGACGTGACTGGGGCTGCGTATGGGGGGGGTTCTGGTCGGTACTCATCGCATGGGGAAGGGTCTTTTGAGGCGCCTCAAAAGTCGGGTTCTGGTCGATATTTAATGCACGGGGAGGGTTCTGGTCGGTACTCGTTGCATGGAGAAGGGCAGGAGGCAGTAGAGGAAGAGGAGGAGGAGCAAGAGTGCGACGAGTCGCAGGTGGCAGGTGCGGTAACCGCACGAGGCATCGATCTAGTTCCCACTGGGGGTGGTTGGTCAGATGACGCAAGGGGATCGGTTTTGCCTGCTCCCTCGCCCTCCACTCCCCTCGCTCGCCCTGCTGCCCGTTCCACTGCCCCTGCCACTCTCCAATCCACTGCTGCTGGTTCTGCTGCCGCTGCTGGTACTGGTGCTGGTGCCAGTGGTGGTGCTGCTGCCGGTCCTGGTGCTGCTGCTGTGGGTGGGAAGAAGGTGGGTAAGGGTGAGAGACTAGGTCGGGTTGGTTCTGGTTCTGGTGGGGATGGTGTGGGCAGTGGAGGGGAGAGTGATAGTCGCAGTGCAAGGGGCACAATGAGAGGTGGAGCAGGGAGGGGAGTGGGTGGAGGACGCGGAAGGGGGGGGGGAGGGGGTGTGGGGCGGACGCGGTTAGGGCAACGTTCGGATGATGAGGGGTGGGGGGTCGAACAGTCAGGGGTGGGGGGACGAGCAGAGGAGAGTGGGAGTGTGGGGGAAGGGGGCGGATGGGGTGAGGGTGGCGGGTATGATCAGTATGGGTACCAGCAGCAGCAGCAGCAGCAGCAGCAGCAGCAGGGGTTGGGATTACAGGGAGCAGCAGCAGGCAATGGTGGTGGTGGCGAGTGGCATGAGCACGACTTCCAAACCAGACACGACCCAGATACTGGGTTGGAAGATGGATATGGGCATGGGTATGGCAACAGCGTTGATCAAGACACTGGGTTCGGGGATGGGTATGGCAACAGCGTTGATCAAGACCCTGGGTTCGGGGATGGGTACGGGAATGATACCAGAGATGCGTTTGGAGATGGGTTTGGGGATGAGTATGATGGAGATGGGCACGGGGATGGCTATGACAATGACCTCCACCCTCACTCCCAGCAGCCACATTACTCTCAGCACCAGCAGCAGCAGCAGCATCAGGTGCAGCAGCAGCAGCAGTCCTACTTGCAGGGCCAGCAGCAGGACTCCCAGCAATCTTACTTTCAGCAGTCTTTCTCTCAGCAGCAGCAGTACTCAGATGCTCTCAATTCCTTCTCCCAGCCCTCTGACCCCTCAACCTCTTTCTCCCAGCAATCTGTTGATCCGCGGCAGCTGCAACAAGGCTACTCGTATGACCACCAGCAGCAGCAGTCGTTTTCCCAGCAGCAGCAGCAGCAACCGTTTTCCCAGCAGCAGCAGCAGCAACCGTTTTCCCAGCAGCAGCAGCAGCAACCGTTTTCCCAGCATCCCCAAGACACCCAGCAGGGATATTCTCAGGGATCGCAGCCCTACTATCACCCGCAACAGCAGCAGCAGCAGCCGTACGACTCACAGCACACCCCACCCATGCAAAGCCCAATCCCGTACTACAACCACCAACCCCCTGATCCACCCCAAGATATCTTCCCCCCTGCCCAGTCGTACGGGCAGGGTAGCATGCCCGCTGTAACACCTCGGCGGGCAGGTAAAAAGTCTATCCAGTTCCAATCCATGCCTGGGGATAGTTTTGGGCAGCAGGAGGAGGTATATTGCCCTCCCATCACTCCTGGCCGTGTTGCGGGGGGGAGTGGAGGAAGAGGAGGGAAAGGGAGCGGGCAGGGAGGGAGGCTGAGTGGTGATGAAGGAAGGGGAAATTACCCACAGCAGCAGCAACAGCTGCAGCAGCAGCAGCAGCAGCAGCAGCAACAGGTGGTTTCAGCTGCAGCAGCAGCACAACAGCAGTATGCACCCACTACCCCTGGACGCTTGAAAAAGCCTGTGGGGGGGATTCATCAGCCAATCACGCCGCGACATGTGGCTGCTAGAGGGGGGGTGAGTGGTGGGGGTGGTGAGGTAAGATTTGATCCTGTCACACCAAGATATGATCCTGTAACTCCCAGATTTGATCCTGTAACCCCAAGATACGATGCTGTAACTCCAAGATACGATCCTGTTACTCCGAGACGAACGAAACAGCCGATTCAGCAGTATCCTCAGACTTATCAGCAGCAGCAACCGCAAAACCAGCAGTATGGTTACCAGCAGGAGGAAGCACCAGCAGCAGCAGAAGCAGTTACCAGACGCAAGCAGCGCGTGGCCTTTGACGACCAGGTCGAGGAAGCTTATATCGAGGACGGGGATGTGCAGACGAATGTGAGATCTCTTAGCACGAAAACAGGCGAGGAGCGGAGAGGTGAAAAGGCAAAGGTTGGTGTGGGAGGAGCAGGGCCGATGGGGAAGAGCGGACAAGCACAGGGTGGGCGGGAGGAGAGGAGGGGACGGATACAGCGGCCTATGGACGATGGGGAGGAGAGGAGAGGAAGGCTTCAAAGACCAATAGAGGATGGGGAGGAGAGGAGAGGGCGTCTTCAGAGACCAATGGAGGATGGGGAGGAGGGAGGTAGGGGGAAGAGGTATGGGGGTGATGTTGCTCGCACCCCCAGGAAAGGGGTGGAAGTGAGAGGAGACGGGAGGGGAGAAGGGAGAGGGGGGGAATGGAGAGGGGGAGATGGACGGAAAGGGGAGGGACCGGAGGGGTATGGCAATCTAGCTCTGAAGAGGCAGCTGAGTTTGAAACTTGCTGTACCCACCACTCCCAGGGGAGAAGGGGGAATGATTGGCGGTGGGCCGAAGAGCGTGCGAGGGCGCAGTAAGAGCGGCGCGTGGGAGATGGAGGAAAGCGGGAGGAGAAGAGGAGGAGGAGGGTCAGGAGGAGGAGGGGGGTGGGGAGTGGAGGGAGGGAGCGGTGGGAGTGGAAGGAGGGAGCGTTTAGACGAGTTTGAGGATCCGTACGGTGGGACACAGGGACCGGGAGGAGGGGGGCGAGAGAGAAGGTCACGAGGGGGAGGGGCAGGAGGAGGAGCAGCAGAGATGGTTCCAAAGACGCCCAGGGACCACAACCCCAAGACCCCCAGGGGTGCGGCTGGTAGTGGTGGTGGGGGTGGGGTTGGTGATAGTGGGCTTTTGCGGACTCGAACGATGGATAGGGGAGAGGGGAAGTCGGGTGACAAGGGGGACAGGAGGAGCGCGGACAGAGGAGGAGGGTTTGGGCCTGGGAGGACAGGGGGCAAGGAAGCGAGGGAGCGAGGGGAGCGAGGGGAGCGAGGGGAGAGAGGGGAGAGGGTGCAGGGGGGTGCATCGGGAGCAACGAGGCGGATAGAGGTGACTAAGAGCATGTCTAGTAAGGACGTGGGGAAGGTTGGCGGCGGGGGGAGAGAGGTGAGCAAGGGCACGAGCTTTTCGCTCAAGGCTGCTTTGTTTGGGAGGGATTCGAAGGAGGGGAAGGGAGGGAAGGAGAAGGAGAAAGAGAAGGGGAGGGAGAAGGAGAGGGAGGGGAAGGATGGTGGATGGGCGAGGAGTAAAAACAATGGATAATACCGAGGTGAAGATGCAGCGGCAGCTGAGCTACAAAAGGGGCCCGTTCTGATGTGACAGTAGTCTTTTGAGGCGCCTTAGAAGGGGAGGGATGGTGGATGGTCGAGGAGTCGAGCCATGGGTAATGGTAATGAGGTGAAAATGCAGAGACAGCTGAGCTACAAAAAGGGGCCCTTCTGATGTGACTGTTGTGATTAATTCTTCGTAGGGGTTTCGAAGAAAGTGGAGAATCCTCTGTATAGGAGCACTTCATGACCCGTTCCTACTGATGTAACATGCAACAACTGTCAACTTTGCGTGTAGTTTTGCGCCTCCTCTTTCCCCCCACCACACCCCCTGGGCAGATTAACCAAACCCACCATAACACACCAACATTCAGGGGTGCGAGGTGGGTCTTGTCCTCGCTGTTGACAGTTCCCATATCAAATAAACAACAACACAAATACGGTAAAAGCAACTCAGCAATCTGTAAGAGCCATTCAAGGGATTTAAGACAATAATCATGTGTTGTGGTCTACGCAAAATTGGGCTAGAGATTGAATACCCTTCTCCTTGCAAAAATAACTTCTGTTCCGTACCATTGGCTTTCTTCTTGTCTGCCTTGATTTTCAAAGATAAGACCAAGCAAAACTCAAAGCATCGGAATTTGACTGCTCTGGGCGTTTCCCTCACAGGCTGGAAAGCAAGGCTCAGCACCTCGGGTCGTCTAGGATTCACAGGAACGGAACGGAAGCTAAAACCGGAGGCAACTCTGATCATCCATTTCTGGCAGCGATGGCGGCGGCTCCGGTTAACTGATTCTGACAGCAATGGCGGCGAAAATGACGGAGAGGAGGCAGAAGACGAGCAGAAGGCTGTTCTTGATGGGCGTGGCGATGTATGGGCTTGAGAGGAAGTAGGCGGAGCAGGCAGCACTGCTCCAGGAAATCCAATGCGCGTATGCTGCGTCCTGGAGTGGTAAAAAAGAGATTGTGGGGCGTGGGAAGGCGTGAGTGTGTTGAGAAAGTAGGCGGAGCAGGCAGCACTGCTCCAGGAAATCCAATGCGCGTATGCAGCGTCCTGTGAGGGGTCAAGGGGGATGTTGTGGGGTGGGAGGGGGTGAGTGAGAGTGAAGGCGTGAGGGGAAGTAGGCGGAGCAGGCCGCACTGCTCCAAGAAATCCAATGCACGTATGCTGCGTCCTGGAGTGGTAAAGAAGAGATTGTGGGGCGTGGGAAGGCGTGAGTGTGTTGAGAAAGTAGGCGGAGCAGGCAGCACTGCTCCAGGAGATCCAATGTGCGTATGCTGCATGCTGCGAGGGGTCAAGGGGGATGTGAGGAGTGGGAGGGGGTGAGTGAGTGTGAGAGCGTGAGAGGAAGTAGTCAGGCAGCACTTGTCCAGGAGATCCAATGGGCGTATGCTGCATCCTGCGAGGGGTCAAGGCGTTGCAATGGAAGACAGTGAGAGGAGGGTATTTGAGACGTCTCAAAACACTCCTTCTTTCACGAGGATATGGAAGGATCATGGAAAAAGAGAGGAAAGTGACTGATAGAAGTTGGACAGGAGAAGGGAGGGGTCAAGCATGGAGGGACGATGGGAGGAGAGTGGGTGAGAGGTGGGGAGGATGGGAGGAGAGCGAATGAGAGAGGGGGAGGATGGGAGGAGTGTGAGTGAGAGGGGGGGAAGATGTGCGGAGAGTAGGTGGGAGAGGGGGAGGATGGGAGGAGAGTGAGTGAGAGGGGGGGAGGATGTATGCTGTGGGCTTCATTTCGTGTGGCAATTGGGGTCTCGGCCAATGGCAGCTTACCACGTCAGAGGGGAAGACCAATGGAAGGAGCGCCGTAATCTGAGATTGAAATGCAGTGGCACCGATTCCCCACAGCAGCGCACAGCTGCACACCAGCGCGAATGCTGCTGGCTTTGACATGGCTCTGGGGATGGGGGGAGGGGATGGAGGGTGGAGGAGGGAGGGGATGGGAAAAGGTTAGTGTCTCTGAACCAGTCGGTGTGAACCATAGTGCACAGCTGCACACCAGCGCGAATGCTGCTGGCTTTGACATGGCTCTGGGGAATGGGGGGAGGGGAGGGCGGAGGGTGGGAGGATGAGGGACGAGGGGGATGCAGAAGGGCAGAAAGGAACTAGGAGTGCACTCATCCTAGGAAGGTATAACGAGAACCAGGAGAGTCCAGAGGCAAGATGTGAGAGGACGAGTGAAGGAGGTGTGAGATGCTGGGCTAAGATGGGGCGGATGTGAGATGCTGGGCTAAGATGGGGCGAATGTGAGATGCTGGGCTAAGATGGGGCGGATGTGAGATGCTGGGCTCAGATGGGGCGGATGTGAGATGCTGGGCTAAGATGGGGCGGATGTGAGATGCTGGGCTATGATGGGGCGGATGTGAGATGCTGGGCTAAGATGGGGCGGATGTGAGATGCTGGGCTAAGATGGGGCGGATGTGAGATGCTGGGCTAAGATGGGGCGGATGTGAGATGCTGGGCTAAGATGGGGCGGATGTGAGATGCTGGGCTAAGATGGGGCGGATGTGAGATGCTGGGCTAAGATGGGGCGGATGTGAGATGCTGGGCTAAGATGGGGCGGATGTGAGATGCTGATTATCTCTCACATGGCCGGCGTCGATACCATCACGTACGGATCGACACCATCACGTACGGATCGACACCATTGCATGGACGGATGGGAACGTTTGGTACATGCGATGACTAGAATTGCACGTGCAACAGTGAGGTTGCGAATGGCTGGAACGGTGATTCAAGCCATCATCAACCTTCTTGCCGGAATGACCGATCAAACACCGTCTGTAAAAGGCTTACCTGCCCTCAAAGAGCCATGTGAGGTGACTTTTGAGTCGACTTAAAAGTCAACCTTCCCGCCTGAATGTCCACCTGCTCCTGCTGCAACAGGCTTACCTGTCCTGAAAGAGCCATGTGAGGACGAGAACGGCTGCCTGAGAGGCAGCACCGAGCAGCAGCATGAGGCGAATCGACGAGAGGCCCTTGGCAAAGCGAGCTGCGAAGAAACAACACTGGAGGCGTGGGGGAGTGGGTGGAGATGCATGGAGCAGAGGAGCAGGATGAGCAGGAGCGAAGCCAAGAGTACCCACAGACAGGAGCCTACTTTTGAGGCGCCTCAAGAGAAGCCAAGAGTACCCACAGACAGGAGCCTACTTTTGAGGCGCCTCAAGAGAAGCCAAGAGTACCCACAGACAGGAGCCTACTTTTGAGGCGCCTCAAGAGAAGCCAAGAGTACCCACAGACAGGAGCCTACTTTTGAGGCCCCTCAAGAGAAGCCAAGAGCACCAAGGAGCACCAAGGAGCACCAAGGAGCACCTTTGGGCAAAGGGAGCTGTGAGGCATGGCGGACGCATTTCGGCCAAAGACTTTGTCAGAACCATAGAATTACAGGGAAAAAAACACAGAAGAGGAAAGGGAAAATCATCATAACAAAAAACTGCAGTAGCGACTCACGACAGCAATGGCGACTCCAAAGACCATCATGGCTCCGCCCATCCACTGCGCTCCCAGCAGCGGCTGCACCACATAGCGTGTGAAGTCAGCACTGCCACCAGGTGCATGGCAGGCATGGGAGGGAGGGGAGGGATGGGTGGGGGTAGGAAAGAAGAGGATTTTGAGTCCACTCAAAAGTTGCAAAACAAGTACCAGAGAATTCTACGCAGACAACTGTTCTAAGGTGACTTTTGAGTCGACTCAAAAGTCATTCTATGCAAACAACTGTTCCATCCTCCTCGTGATATGAAAACCAGGTGACTCTGAGTCGACTCACAAGAAAACCAGGTGACTCTGAGTCGACTCAAAAGTCAACTGCACCCGACAAGTACTCTATCCTCCTCTTGACGTCTAACATACCTGATCGTAACTTACCACCCTTACTGCCCCTACAGCCTAGGTGCATTTCATGTTAAACTTACTTGACTTTCCCTTTCCACATCTCTTGGGCTTGAGGATGGAGGTATAAATGGTGTTGAATCGTACCTGATATAAGCGGCCTGCAGTCCCGAGTAGAAGAGCAGCGGAATCAGCAGCAGCAGCTTGCGATCAAAGAGCAGCTGCCACGCGTTCCTCCCCTCCCCATCCTTGCTCCCCCCGCCGCCGACCGTCACAACCATCCGTCTCGAGCTCACAGACCTAGACAAAGATCGCCGCCCGGACACCGCAGAAGCGGACAAGGAACGCTGCCGTGAGTGGGACGGCGCAGAGGATCGGGACATGCTGCGGGAGAGAGACGGGACGTGGAACGAAGCTATGGTCCGGCCGGACCTAGAGTTGATGGTCAGGCTGGAGGATGACCTGCTCAGTCTCGGAGGGGCAGAAGCCAGGTTCGGACCGAGCCTGGGCGTTTGGCTCGGGATGGTGGCTCGGCGGGAGGAGGAAATGAAAGAAGAGTGGTTGGCGAAGGATGAGACTGAGCGGAGAGAGCGGGTTTGCTGAGAGGTGCAGTGCGGTTGGGGTGGGTTGCCTGTATGAGCGGATATCATGCCAGGGGAGGAGTCGTCAGTTATCCCTGCAACTCCTACAACCGCACTCCCCTCCTCACACTGCCCATTCTCCCTCATCTGCTCCCCCTCTCCCTCACCCCCCTCCTCAACCACGTCTGACAGTATCGCTCGCATGTGGTGCTTCACCTTCTTCCCACCCCTCCCTCCCCTTTCTCCCTCCTCCTCATCACTTTCTTCCTCCCCCTCTTCCTCCTCATCTTCCTCCCCCCCCTCCTCCTCCACCACCTCTTCCATCTCCTCCCAATCAACGGTGAAGATTGAAAGCGCCCTGCTGGATGAAATCGACGGACAGGGAGCCAGCGCGGCGGCTGGGCGCTTCAAGTTCAGGGTAGCGTCGTCCACGTGGCAGTCTTCTATTGGCTTGAGATCACGGAGGATCCAGGAGAGAACGGAGCCTATAGCGAGGCAGATGCAAAGGACTATAATGAGTATGGTGACGGTGGTAGGAGGAAGGGAGGAGGACGAGGAGGAAGAGGAGTAGGAGAGTTGTGAGACGGTGAAAGTGATTGCATTCCCGATAACTTGATTAATGGCGAATATTCCGCCAAAAAGGGCGCTGAATTCGGTAACCACGGCATCCATAGGCTTGTTGTAACGCTTACTGTAGACACCCGCGGCAGCAACGAGGTACACTCCCTGCGTTACAAAAACGAGGACGCATGTACAGGGGATGTTGCTAAAGGCCCCAGTAGAAAATTTGTGAAGGCAGGCGTGAGGAAATATGAAAGAGTTGCATTCAAGCCATTCAGGTGCTGGATTAATGAGAAAAGTTTGATGAAGTAAGAGGCCATAGAGGGATTTCTTGAAAGCAGCCATGAGATCAGAATCAGATTACACACTCGCGTGCCCGCACACACACGCAGGGCGTACCGCCTGCGCGCGCGCACACACACACACGCGTGTGCGCCCGCACAAGCACATACTAATAATACAAGACAAAGCGTGAGAGAGTGAGAGCGCACCTGAGCCACCCAGACGACGGACCAGCAGACTCCGAGGTAGCACGACGCGAGCAGAAGCAGCCACCTGCCACGTGATGCACGCGATGAGGCGGGACGGGGTTTGGGGTACTAGGGGCAATGAGAAGGCGCTGAAGAGAGTATCTTGTGACGACGAGTCTTGAGGAGAGGAAAAACGGACTTGAAGAGCATCTAGAGCGTCTCCCTTTGCAATCCCGTCCCGGCTCTGGCCCACCGTCATGCACAGTCAAGTTGAATATTCTTAGATCGAAAGAAAAGAAGACACACTACCCACGCACTCTATGGTGAACGCGTTGGACCCGATAAAGGCCCAGAACCCCGTCTGCGCGACGAGGATGGCGGCGCGCGCGCGCCAGAAGCGGATAGGGAAGGGCGCGAGCGGCGCGGAGACGACGATGACGGCGTAGAGCACGCCCATGGAGAGCGCGCCGATGTTGCTCGCGCCGTGGATGCTCGTCGCGACGTTCTGCAGCGCGTTGAACGCAACGAAGAAGAAGAGAAACGCCGTGCTCATTAGCAGTATGTCGCGCCGCGACCACACCCACCGCCACACCCGCGCCGCGGACGCCCGTGCTGCTCCGTCGCCGCCGTCGTCGCCGCCTTTAGAATAGTCGCCGAATTCTGACAACGCTGAGGGCCCGGTCGCCTCGGTGGGCGACGCGCTCGCTTGAGTCGCATTCGGCGTCGCATCCGTCGCCGTACTGCTGTCGGAGATTTGGATTTTTCGCCACCCGAAGCTCCAGCTGCCGCCTCGGCTGGGGAACCACCGCAGAAGGTTCCTCGCGGCGCCTGCGGCCGAGTCGGTGCCATTCTCGCCGCCATTCTCCTCGTCGACTCGATGTTGCTCACTGGACATGCTGACGGGCTAGATGGTCGTGACGTTGGGAGTCACGGTAAGTCGCAATTGCAAAACTACCCCTTGAGATAGCCGGCTACCTTTTCCGTAGGGCGTTTTACGCCGACAGCAGGCTGGATTTACTTTTGAGAATTCTCAACAGGACGATGCTACCTGCAGCGCCATAATTCCGCACCCCGAGCGTCGCGATCTGCTCTCAAAGAGAGACCAGACTGTAAAAAATCCTGAAATCGGAATGTTCTCAGAGAGACTGTACCTTCTGAGAATTCTCAATAGCGAATATGTGACCTGCTGACTTCAGAGAGCGAACAGTAGTGGCTTAACCAGAGCATCAGAAAGATGTACTCAGCATTTATTTCGGAATTCTACGAGAGACCGTGAAAATTGTGACCTGTCTTGTCTTGCCCTCCTAGAAAGGACTTTCGAGGCGCCTCAAAAGCCTTCCCAGTGAGCGATTAGCGGCTCTGATCAGAGCATCTCAGTTGACAGAGCCGCTAATCGGCATCGACATAAGCTACACGGTTGTCTTAATCCATCCGATCGTAGTGCGTTGCCAAGCGTGGCTCGAGACACGGTAACTGTTCAACCAGAAGTCAAATAGCTGGCTACTGATAAGGAGCTGCCGTTGCACAGCTGTCCGTTGAGGGGCTAGCTAGGTGGCCCAAGTTGCGTTTTGACTCGACCCAAAACGCACATAAGCTAGTCCAGCGCTTGCTACTGATAAGGAGCTCGTTGAGGAGCTAGCTGGCCCTAGTTGCGCAGGACCAGACCAGCTCTGATGTGTCCGAGTAGAGAACTCCTCGGCCTGGTAAAATAGAGAATCCCTCGGCCTTTTCTCCAGAATCCGCTGCCATATGGAATTCGTGTCACCCAGCAACGGGTGAGGGAAGAAATGAATCTGGCAGTGGGCGGTGGAAGGTGGGTGTGGGAGGGAGGGAAGATAGGTGGGGTTGATGCTGCATCTTCCTGGTCGCAAAGGAAGTGAGGAATTTATGGCCTGGCATGGGAAAGCGCACAGATTTAGGATCTGGTTTTATGAGTCGCGTTTCGCTTCGGGCATTTATGATGGGACTGATATTCAGGACAGGACGTTAAGCCTTATGCTTACTATCGGACTGGGACTGTGCTGTTTGGGACTTCGGCTCTTCCTAAACAGCCAGGAACTTTGGTAAGCCTTATGGACACAGCACTCTAGCACTTAATCTGTAAAGCTCGCCGGCATAAGTGCTTTGTACCTATTTTTTGTTTGCAAAACGGGCGATTTAGTGCGCTTGGAATATGGAACACCACCGATGCGGCGTGTAAAGTCGCGACGCGATTCGACCCGAGACGCCCAACTTCCACACATCGGTTCGGGTCGGAGCTGGTCCGAGCCAGAGGCCTTAGTCAACTGACAACAGTGCTGTCCACTCACTTGAAGCGCTTGTCAATCCCTAATCAGCTGAACGGAAATTCCCTCGCACGCGCCTTCGGTGGATTGACGTAACGACACGGGACTGGAACCGACTCCAACAGAAAGAAACTGGTCAAACGCCCTCTACAGTGTTTGAAAAGCAAAATGCGATATAGCACAAAACCTGACAATAAAATTCTCTTTACTCATCCAACGCCTGACCTACCGTACTATGCTGTTGAAAACAATGGGGTGGGCATCTGCACTAAAAGCATGTATTGCACAGGCATTCACCATCTGGCAACATCCGCTACTTGGGGTATGCGAATGTGGTGCATAAAACACACGGCATGAGATCTTGTATCTTGTAGCTGGCAGCCTGCCACGAACCCCTAAACCACCAAGTTGGTGTCAGGAAAATTGGCGCGCAAATACAGGTTCGTGATTGGACAATGTTCCGAAAATGTCATTTCAATGCCACCAAATCCGTGTCGCGCGCGCTTCGGGCAAAATGTTGGTGGCATGCGGTTTTCCCGCATGCCACCAACAGTGCCTGCTACAGTGGCCCTGCCACCACCCAGGGATACACCCTGAGAGGACTTTCGGCGTTAAGTGCCATCCCAGCCATCCAGAAGGTTGACCTGCAACCACAAAGAACCAGAAGAACGAGGGTTATGCAATAACAGAAACCACGGTACCTGCTTCAAAAGTGGCTCTCCAGGCAAAATCACATGCGACACTCCTTGCCGCCCACTCAGCCCCCATCCCCAACAGTCTTCCAACACTGAACCTGGAACCCCATCCCCCAGCCTCCACCCTTAGTACTCTCAAAATCCCCTTGAGCCTTACCACAACCAGCCTCGAATCGCATGACACACTCCAAAACCCTCCCCTCGCGACACAACCAGACCGGAAGGCCCTCCGCTCACCGCTATTCTGGGAAGCGTTTCTCGCAAGGGGTCCGCCCGGCGCATCTCCTTGAGCTGCTCTATTCCGCCCTCCACTCTCCCCCGCACCATCTGGTGCCGCCAGGGATGGTGGGAATAGCGGGATAGGAAAGACGGCAGGGGTGGTGGGGGAATGGCAGAGTGGTGGGTGAAATGGCAGGGTCAGTTGGAGAAATGGCGGGGGTGGAAGAGAGAGAGCAAGAGAGCAACATACATGGCAGGAAACCAGCATTGGGAATCATGTGGCACGAGGAGAGGCCACCGTATCTAGAATCTTTTATTGCACGCCTCCGTATCGCGCACGATGCTGCGACCAAGGCCGTCGGTACGGATGGGGTCGAATAAGAGGAAGCAGAGGCGCTGGGGGCGCAGCGAGCGAGGTAGCAGTGGAGATCGGGAGACGGAGCAACGCACCTGGTCGATCTGACTGCACGCCTCCTTGTCGCGTATGATGGTGGGGTCAAGGCCGTCAGTGCGGATGGGGTGGGAGAAGAGGAAGCAGAGGCGATGGGGGCGCGGCAGCAGACAACCCAGCCAGTCAGGGGGGATTGCATGCAGACAGGCAAGGAGGGCGACCCACTGAACTGACCCACCTGGTAGATCCTGCTGCACTCCTCCTTGTCTCGTATGATCGTGGGGTCAAGCCCGTCCGTGCGGATGGGGTCAGAGAAGAGGAAGTAGAGGCGCTGGGGGCGCGGCAACAGGCCGGCATTGGAGGCGAGGGGGAAGGGGGGCGACTGCATGCCCGTGGCCTGCAGTGCTGGCTTCAGCCAGGGGCCAATGGGAGAGGACATAATTTCCCTGAGATCAGGCAGGGGAGGAGCAGAGAGAGGAGACGTGGGGAGGGTTGGGAAGGGGAGGAAAGAATAAGGGGGCTGTGAGGAGGCGAGGGGGAAGGGGACCGTCTGCATGCTCGTGGCCTGTAGTGCTGGCTTCAACCAGGGGCCGATGGGAGAGAACATGATCTCGCTGTAAGGTCAGGGGTGGAGGGGAGCAGAGAGGGGGGAGGTGGGGAGGGGTGGGAAGGGGAGGAGAAAATAAGGGGGTTGTAAGAAGCCCAGCATTGGAGGCGAGGGGGAAGGGCACTGTCTGCATGCCGGTGGCTTGTAGTGCTGGCGTCAACCAGGGGCCGATGGGAGAGGACACTATATCCCTGTGGGTTGAGGAGTAACGGGGAAGAGGGGGGCCGGTGAAGGAGGAGAGTTTAAGGGGAATGTGAGAAGGTCGGCATAGAGGCGAAAGCAAAGGTATGCGTGCATGCTAGATGGGGGAGTGTGGCAATATGGTGGCTCGATCGTGCTGGTTGGAATTGTTAACAGGAATGGAGTGTTGGCCCCGCCCTCGCTTGGGCAACGCCGACGACTTGGTCGGATGTACGGGAGTAGCAACCGACCGTTCACAGTGGGAGAGCTGCTCGACAGGCTTCGTCGAGCTGCAGGGGACCGCTGTGGTGTTGCTGTCGACTAGGGAGCTCGACAGCTGCAACTGACTGGTCTGGGCGACGGGTGGGACGTCGACCAGGACCTACAGTTCGACCGGGAGGTCGACGGAGCAGTCCGTCGACCTGACAAGTGAGCAGCGGTCGACGAGGGGAGCTCGGCGACAACCGCTGATGGTTCTGGTCGAGGGAAGGGGTCCGTCGACCAGGGGGTAGCTCGACGGGAGTTGTGGTCGACCAGAGGAACCTGGTGGTCGACCGGAAGCACCTGGTGGTCGACCGGGTCGACCGGGTAACCTGCTCGACGAGTTCTGCGGAGGCACGCGACCGTCGTCGAGGCTGCGATGGCGCAGGCGACTACGTGCTGGTATCTCGGAGTCGATATGGCTCGTCAGGCGCAGACAACAGCCGACGAATGCCCAACGAGGCAAGTCGGGCCAATCGTCTGCGCACACCTGTGAGCGTGCACACTGCTATGTTCTACGGGGCAACGCTGAACAGCCGCTCTGCTGCAGCGTTGGCACACCATCGACCTGCTCCGTTGGCAGGTCACCTTTCTACAGTGCTGGCGCGGCTCCTCTACGCAACTCTGGCAGGCGATCGGCTGAGCTGTGCTGGCGGTCGACCAGGCTAGCAGCAGGGTTGCTAGGTGCCTGATGTAGTCATTCTTGTCATCTCTTGTGGAATCATTTTGGACTACCAACTTGGCTAGTGGAAACTCTTGCCAATTTCTCCCGTGAATGTGCAAGCACTAAAGAACCAAGCAAAACTACGATCACCTCTAGTAGTTCGTGCCAACCCCCGTAGTCTAGCTCACTACCGTTGTAGAGTGAATCTTCGCAGGAGTCAAGTGGCACCTGAATGGTATATGTGTCAAATGCGTTCTCCACACTCAGTGGCCACTGAACCATTCACTCACGGTCCATGAGCACGTCAAATGCGTCCTCCACTCCGATAGTAGAAGAGAACAGCACGATGGTGGCACCACAGCGCACCGCACCGCACCGCACCAGATGCTTCCCCCCCCGCCCATGCAAGCCACTCACTCAGGATGCATGAGCACGTCAAATGCGTCCTCCACTCCAATGGTGGAAAACGCAGGATGGGTGGAGCCACAGCGCACGGCAATGCACACAAAGTCGGTGGTGTCTGGCTGTGCGCACATAATATGGAAAGGCAGAGCACACATCATGGTTTTTGAGAATTCTCAAGAACCAGCTACACCATGGTATGGCAAGGCACTCGAGGCACTCACTCGGGGTCCATGAGCACGTCAAATGCGTCTTCCACCCCGATAGTAGAAAACGGCACGATGGTGGCACCACAGCGCACTGCGATGCGCACAAAGTCAGTCGTATCGCGCCAGAACAGCTTGTACTTCTCGTTCTTCCGCTTCCCCACCTCCCTGCCGCCCCCCGGGTACAGCAGCAAGTTCTCCCCCTCCCTCAGCAGCTGGTAGCATGCTCGGGGGGATACCTGCAGCGAGTGGGGAGGGTTTGAGCAGGACAGGGATTGGGAGGGTTTGAGCAGGACACGGATTGGGAGGGTGGGGTTGTGAGAACTGAAAGGTCTCCTCCCTGCCGCCACCCGGGTATAGTAGCAAATTCTCCCCCTCCCTCAGGAGCTGGTAGCACACGCGAGGGGACACCTGCAGCATGATGAGAGGGAGGGAGGAGCATAAGTCAGTGCGACAACTGAAAGGTCACTTCCCTCCTCCCCCCATTCCTCCCGGGTACAACAGTATGCTCTCCCACTCCCTCAGGAGCTGGTAGCACGCGCGAGGGGACATCTGCGGCATGATGAGAGGGAGGGAGGAGGGTAGGTCAGTGGTGTCGTGCCAAAACAGCCTTTTTCAGTCATGTGCAGCTTGTTCTTCCCTTTTATACCACTCACCTTCTCTTTTATACCACTCACCTTCTCTTCTATACCACTCACCTTCCCTTTTATACCACTCACCTTCTCTTTTATACCACTCACCTTCCTTTTTATACCACTCACCTTCTCTTTTATACCACTCACCTTCCCTTTTATACCACTCACCTTCTCTTTTCTTCCCTTTTATACCACTCACCTTCTCTTTTCTTCCCTTTTATACCACTCACCTTCTCTGTTCTTCCCTTTTATACCACTCACCTTCTCTTTTCTTCCCTTTTATACCACTCACCTTCCCTTTTCTTCCCTTTTATACCACTCACCTTCCCTTTTCTTCCCTTTTATACCACTCACCTTCTCTTTTCTTCCCTTTTATACCACTCACCTTCTCTGTTCTTCCCTTTTATACCACTCACCTTCTCTTTTCTTCCCTTTTATACCACTCACCTTCTCTTTTCTTCCCTTTTATACCACTCACCTTCTCTTTTCTTCCCTTTTATACCACTCACCTTCTCTTTTCTTCCCTTTTATACCACTCAACTTCTCTTTTCTTCCCTTTTATACCACTCACCTTCTCTTTTCTTCCCTTTTATACCACTCACCTTCTCTTTTCTTCCCTTTTATACCACTCACCTTCTCTTTTCTTCCCTTTTATACCACTCACCTTCTCTGTTCTTCCCTTTTATACCACTCACCTTCTCTTTTCTTCCCTTTTATACCACTCACCTTCTCTTTTCTTCCCTTTTATACCACTCACCTTCTCTTTTCTTCCCTTTTATACCACTCACCTTCTCTTTTCTTCCCTTTTATACCACTCACCTTCTCTGTTCTTCCCTTTTATACCACTCACCTTCTCTTTTCTTCCCTTTTATACCACTCACCTTCTCTTTTCTTCCCTTTTATACCACTCACCTTCTCTTTTCTTCCCTTTTATACCACTCACCTTCTCTGTTCTTCCCTTTTATACCACTCACCTTCTCTTTCTTCCCTTTTATACCACTCACCTTCTCTTTTCTTCCCTTTTATACCACTCACCTTCTCTTTTCTTCCCTTTTATACCACTCACCTTCTCTTTTCTTCCCTTTTATACCACTCACCTTCTCTTTTCTTCCCTTTTATACCACTCACCTTCTCTTTTCTTCCCTTTTATACCACTCACCTTCTCTTTTCTTCCCTTTTATACCACTCACCTTCCCTTTTCTTCCCTTTTATACCACTCACCTTCCCTTTTCTTCCCTTTTATACCACTCACCTTCCCTTTTCTTCCCTTTTATACCACTCACCTTCCCTTTTCTTCCCTTTTATACCACTCACCTTCCCTTTTCTTCCCTTTTATACCACTCACCTTCCCTTTTCTTCCCTTTTATACCACTCACCTTCCCTTTTCTTCCCTTTTATACCACTCACCTTCCCTTTTCTTCCCTTTTATACCACTCACCTTGCCTTTTCTTCCCTTTTATACCACTCACCTTCTCTTTTCTTCCCTCAAAAGTCGTTGATGGTACGCCCAGAGGGTAGGTCAGTGGTGTTGTGCCAGAACAGCTTGTAATTCTCTCCACTTCACTTCCCCACCTCTCTCAACCCTGGCGATACAACCTGCCTTTACAACCACCACTCCCATCCCCGCCCCAACCCCCACCGTCTCACCCACACAGCACCGTCATTGGTGAACCGGTCTGCAAAGGGGCTCTGCCGATGCCGTCTATTCGCCTTCAACTACAGCATGCTAATCCCATCCCTATCCCCATCCCCATCCCCATCCCCATCCCCATCCCCATCCCCATTCCCATCACCATCCCCATCCCCATTCCCATCTCACCCGCACGGCGCCGTATTTGGTGAACTGGTCAGCAAAGGGCCCCTGCCAGTGGGTGGGCGCGCCCAGCCCTCTTAACGTGACTCCCGTGCGCATGTGAATGTCTCGGATCATGAGCGGCCTGGCAGGGAAGGGGAGGGGTGGAAGGAGGAGGCACTTAAACTGATGAATGGACGAAAACAGTGGATACTGCTGGAGGGGGGCGAGCAGCGCGCAGCCAGCCCTAAGAGAGTGAAACCCGCGAGCAGTGAGATGTAATATGAGGCGCCTCAAAATTCGAGTGACTTTTGAGAATTCTCAAAAGTCACTCGTACGCAGCCAGCCCTAAGAGAGTGAAACCCGCGAGCAGTGAGATGTAATATGAGGCGCCTCAAAATTCGAGTGACTTTTGAGAATTCTCAAAAGTCACTCGTACGCAGCCAGCCCTAAGAGAGTGAAACCCGGGAGCAGTGAGATGTAATATGAGGCGTCTCAAAATTCGAGTGACTTTTGAGAATTCTCAAAAGTCACTCGTACGCAGCCAGCCCTAAGAGAGTGAAACCCGCGAGCAGTGAGATGTAATATGAGGCGCCTCAAAATGCGAGCAGCGCGCATGTGGATGCCTCGGATCATGTAAGGCATGTGAAATAAGACTGGTTTTGAGAGGCCTGCAGAGGGGTGGAAGGAGGAAGACTGCACATAGATGCATCTCCTGGCAGGCGAGAGAGACATGGATGGAGAGATGCAGGAGGTTGAAGAAGTGTTTTGAGACGTCTCAAAACACTTGTTCATTCTCATGGCAGGCAAGAGAGACATGGATGGAGAGATGCAGAAGCCACCCTGTACGACCCTAAACCCTACCCCACCTTCCCCCCACCTTTCAACACTCCCAAAAACGTGCATGGCATAAATACCGAAGATGGTGTGGTTGCCCACAAACAGCAGCCTGCCCGCCCGGAGGGTTGGTGCTCCCAGTGGCCTTGGATTCGAGTGACTTGCTCATCTTTTAAGATGGGCACCCAACCAAATCCCATTTCCCCCCTCTCCTTCCCAACCCTCTTCCCCACTTCCTCCTCAAACCCCCCCAACCCACATGTCATAGATGCCGAAGATGGTGTGGTTGCCCACAAACAGCAGCTTCCCCTCGTTGCGCGGAATCTTCTCCAACCCTGCCATGCGCCGCGGGGCGTGGAGGGTTGGCGGAAGGGGATGGGATGGGGGATGACATGGGACATGGGACATGGCATGGCATGGCATGGCATGGCATGGCATGGCATGACGAACAGCAGCTTCCCCTCGTTGCGCGAAATCTTTTCCAACCCTGCCATGAGGGTGGCGGGTGGGGGGATGGGGGGGCGGGGTGGGGATGAAATGAGTCAAACATGGCATGGTAACCAGCAGGCTGCCCTGGTGTTATGAGACGTCTGATAATAAAAGTGTTATGAGACGTCTGATAATAAAAGTGTTATGAGACGTCTGATAATAAAAGTGTTTTGAGACGTCTCAAAACAAAGTGTTTTGAGACGTCTGATAATAAAAGTGTTTCGAGACTTCTCAAAACAAACATGGCATAGCATGGCATGGTAGCCAGCAGGCTGCCCTGGTTGCAAGGAATCTTTTCCAACCCTGCCATGCTGTGGTGTGGAGGGTGGGGGTTTGGGGAAAAGAGATGAATTGAGACGTTGCGTTGCATGGCATGCCATGGCATGGCATGGCACAGCACGGCACAGCACTGCGTGGCACACTATGCCGGTATTTCTCACCCATTCATGCACATGTCAACATAAAGGGGCCGTGCAACCCAGTTCCAGAGGCGAGGCGGTATTGAGGCATGTCATCCAGCATGCCGACCAATGGACCGGCTACACACATTGCTTTATTTCGCACAGTACAGCACACACACGGCACACACCACACGGCACACACCACACGGCACACACACACCACACGGCACGCAGCACACGGCACGCAGCACACGGCACACACCACACGGCACACACCACACGGCACACACACACCACACGGCACGCAGCACACGGCACGCAGCACACGGCACACACCACACGGCACACACCACACGGCACACACCACACGGCACACACCACACGGCACACACCACACGGCACACACCACACGGCACGCACCACACGGCATGCAGCACACCATGACCATATCACACACACACACCCACACGTACCAACATAGAGAGGCCCGGCCACCCAGTTCCAGAGGCGGTACTGAGGCATGTCATCCAGCATACCCTCCAGTGCTCGTCCCACCTCCCACACACCCACAGACTAGCCAAGCACAGACAGACACAGCACATTATTCCATGCAAACATACACACATACCAACATAGAGAGGCCGTGCGACCCAGTTCCAGAGGCGGTACTGCGGCATGTCATCCAGCATACCCTCCAGTGCCCGCCCCACCTCCCCTGCCGTCGCCCGCCCCTCCACCGACCCCATGTACCTCCCACCTTCCACTCCCCCTTCCCTTTTCCCTTCCCCTTTCGCTTCCACTTTTCCTTCCTTGCCTCCCTGCTGCTGCTCCTCTTTCCTCCTAGCCCTTGCTTCCCCCACCACACTCCCCACGCCGCTCCATTGCATTGCTTTCTCTGTGGATGAAGCAGCAGCAGTGGCAGTGACAGAGCCAGTGGCATTATTACCAGGTTTCGCACCAGCTCCTGTCCCCTTATTAACAGCTCCGATACTGGAACTACCATTTGTGGCACTAGTAGAACTGGGGATTGCAGCTCCATTAGCTGCATCAGGAGCACCAGAACGCGCAGCTGCAGCAGCAGAACCGGCACCACCACCACCACTGCCCTCTGCACCCCTCTCTGCATGCCCGTTATTAGCACGCACAGAACGGGAGGCAGCAGATGCTGTAGCTTTGGACTGGGGTGGGGAACCCAAAGCGGACTGAGAGGAGAGAGAATCAGGTGCAGCTTGAGAGGCGGAGGCAGCTTCAGAAGCAGAGGCAGCTTGAGGGAACATGCGATCAGCCCATGCGGCATCCCCTTTACCCTTCATCATCTCATAGTACCCATCCAGCCTCAAACCACGCTTGGCCTTCTTGACTTGCTCCCCTTGATTCCCTTGCAGTCCCTCCCGTTGTCTTTCCTTCCCTCCTCCCTGCCTCTCACCTCTACCCTCATCCTCCTTCCGCACCACATCATTCTCTACCCACAAGCTCTTCCGCACTCCCTCCTCTCCTCTGCCCTCTTCCCTCCTCCCCTTGCTCCACTCCGGTAAACTCCTCACTATCCCTCCTTTTCCCCCTCCCCCTCCCACAACCCCTCTAGTTTCCACTCTCCCCTTCTCCATCCCCTTCCAAACCTCCGCCGAACCCCCGTCCTTCCGAGCCTGGGCCGCCCGAACCTGAGACCATTCCCGAAGCACCACCTCTCCCTGCGCCTCCTCCCGCTTCCGAGAAACTTCCACCCACACATCTCCTCCATTCTCCCCCCCTTCAGCTTCTATCCCAGCATCTCCTATCTCTGCTCTTGCCACCGCTTCAGGTTCTGCTCCAACTGTTGCTCCTGCCGCTGCTGCTGCTGGCACCGCTGCTGTTTCTGCTGCCACCGCTCTTGCCACTGCCACTGTTGCCGCTGCTGTTGACTTCGCCACTGCTGCTACTGTTTCCGCTGCCACTGCTGCTGCTGGCACCGCTGATGCTTCTGCTGCCACCACTCTTGCCGCTGCCACAGCGACTGCTGCTGTAGTCGTTGCCACGGCCGCTGCTGTTTCTGCCGCCAATGCGGTTGCCGTTGCCAGTGCAGCAGACGCAGAAAGAGAAATCGCTTCCTCTTGGATGAAAGCAGCACCAGGAGCAGCAGCAGCATCATCAGGGCCTGTGATTGGTTCAGCATCCGTGGCAGCAGAGCCGGCCAGTCCAAGCACAGCAGCCACGTCAGCATCATCCCAGTCCTTTCCCTCCATGCTAAACTCCCCCTCCTCACTGCTGTACCCTGCTGCACCCTCCACTCCACCTGAAATTTCACCTGAACTTTTGCCTGCCCCACTTGATGCTGTGCTGCCACCCATGCTGCCAATACTCATCTCCCCCATCGTAGACTCATGGAACCCTGTAGACGTGATTCGGCTTGCACTGTCCGCTGCAGGTTCCGCAGCATACAGAGCACTGCCGGTGCTGTTGCTGTCGCCGCTGCTGCCTCTGCTAGCTGCATTGCTGCTCCTTTGAGCATGCACTGCCGACCCATCCTCGCTATTAGCAGGCTCATCACCCTCGCTAAAAGCAAGCTCGTGCTCGTCGTCAGAGGGAGGGACAGGGTCGAGAGGGAAGGCAGCAGAGGGCAGCAGCACCCCACTCTCCTGCAGAATGTCCTGCAGAGAAACGCCCGCCTGATGAATGGGGGGAGGAAGAGGGGATATGGTTGTGGGCATGCGTGGCCGGGGCATGAGAGGGAAGGCAGCAGAGGGCAGCAGAGGGCAGCAACACCCCACTCTCCTGCAGAATGTCCCGCAGAGAAACGCCCGCCTGATGGGACAGGTGACAGGGGGAGGGATGTCAGAGAAAAGATCACCATCTGCTGTGTGTGCCGCTCATCTCTCGCAGAGCACTGTGGCTTGAGACGGGCTTTAAGACGTCTAAAAGACTCACCTCTAGCAGGGCAGTGTGGCCGGAGAAAGGCAGAATCTTGATGCGGCACGACGGGATGCACGTCGCTAGCCCGTATGCCTCCTCCACTGATGGTATCAGCCGGTCCTCCCCGCTGCACGCATGCAATGGGTGGGTGTGGTTTAAATGGGTCAAAATGGGTGAGGACAAGGGGTTGAACTTCATTTCCTAGTCGGCTCAGACATCACGATGGGACGCACAAGGGACGCATGTGGCCAGCCCGCCCGTATGCCTCCTCCACTGATGGTATCAGCCGGTCCTCGCCACTGCATGCAATGCACGCTTTTAGATGGCTTAAGATGGGAGTCAGGATGGGTCAAGATGGGTCAAGATGGGTAGTCTACTCTACTCCCACCTGGCAATCAGCAGGGTGCTGGCTGTCATGGACTGCAGCATGGCATCGGACGGCTGTAGCAGTGCATTGGACAGCACTGGGAAGCACTGTAGCTGTAGCATACCTGGCAATGAGCAGAGTGCTGGCTGTGATGGACTGTAGCATGGCATCTGACGGCTGTAGCGCTGCCATCATGGCAACTCGGCGCGCCACTGTTGCTGCTGGAAGCACCGTCGTGCTGGTGAGGTGGGGGTGACAAGGGAAAAGGGTGAATGGGTGAATGGGTGAATGGGTGAATGGGTGAATGGGTGAATGGGCGAATGGGTGAATGGGTGAATGGGTGAATGGGTGAAAGGTGAATGGGTGAATGGGTGAATGGGTGAAGGTGAATGGGTGAATGGGTGAATGGGTGAATGGGTGAATGGGTGAATGGGTGAATGGGTGAATGGGCGAATGGGTGAATGGGTGAATGGGTGAATGGGTGAAAGGTGAATGGGTGAATGGGTGAATGGGTGAAAGGTGAATGGGTGAATGGGTGAATGGGTGAAAGGTGAATGGGTGAATGGGTGAATGGGTGAATGGGTGAAAGGTGAATGGGTGAATGGGTGAATGGGTGAATGGGTGAAAGGTGAATGGGTGAATGGGTGAATGGGTGAAAGGTGAATGGGTGAATGGGTGAATGGGTGAATGGGTGAAAGGTGAATGGATGAATGGGTGAATGGGTGAATGGGTGAAAGGTGAATGGGTGAATGGGTGAATGGGTGAATGGGTGCATGTGAAGGGTAAGGAGGGACATGAGGAGCAGGAAACGCACCTGAAGGGCGGGGTGATGAGGGTCCTCTCTCTCTCCCCCAGGCTGTCCCAATCAGAGAGGAGAGGTGCAAGGGCCAAGGAGGAGAGCTGCGCTAGGGCAGGAATGTCAGGTGCAAAGGGTGCCTGGGATGGGGTTGGGGATGAGAGATGGTGGGTGGAGTTGAGGAAATTTGGGAAGAGAGGCGCGCGGGCGAAGGGGGAGAGCAGTGTTAAAAAAGTGAGGCAGACAACGGTGGGGATGGGTTTGGACAGGAATGGGATGACATGGACAGGTGCAAGCAAGGGGTGCCTGGGATAGGGATGGCAAGGGCGGAGTGCTCCTGGGTGGAAGGGTCCCGGCCCACAAGGAAAGGAACGCTCCGAGGTGGAAGGTACGCAAGAACCGAGAAATCTAAGTAGTACATACAGATAGACTGCAGACCTAGTGGCGTTTTACTATCTATCTTGTGCTTTAAGCTCGGCTAGGTCTGCTGTGCGCTGAGAATACAATGTCACAAGGAACGTTTCCGAGGTGGAAGGTACGCAAGAACCGAGACCATTCTTCTTCGGCGGATTGTTTTTGAGAATTCTCAAGAACAAAGTCGGCCTGCCTTGCCTTTCTTCTTCTGACAAGTCTCACCAGCAAGGCTCCGAGCTGAAGGGCTGGCTGGCGGCGAAAGCCACTGGCACTGCGAGAGGAGACGAGGTGTGATGGGATGGGAGATGCAGGCGGGGTTGGGAAGGGATGTGAGAAGAGATGTGTGTTCCGGGTGCATGGGGTTGCATGGTGGTCACACAGAAACGCACACACACTCACACACACGCGCGCGCGCGCACACACACACACGCACAAACGCATGCACGCACGCACGCACACACCCATGCGCACACACACACACACACACACACACACACACACACACACACACACACCCACACACCCACACACCCACGCAAACCCTCACACACAAACCCACACAACCCACACACCCACGCACCCACAGACCCATGCACTCACGGCCCCATCCACCAACACACACCTGTTGCAGATGACGAGGTGTGCAACCAGGCTAGCATGGGAGGCAGAGAGGGAGAGCGCCACCCCAGCTCCAAACGACTCTGCCACCACCGTCACTGCTGCTGCCGCTTCTGCTTCTTCTGGTGCGGGTGTGCTCGTCCCTCGCGGCATCTCATCATCCGAGGCATATCTCACGGCTCCCACACCCATGGCGGCTTGGGCGAGGGTACTGGCGCTTCTTAGGTCATTTTCGCGCTGAATGAGCTCCGCCACTCTGCCGAGGAGAGAGATAGGGGAAAGGGAGGGAAGGGAGGGGGGGGGGGGGGGGGGGGGGGGGGGGGGGGTTGGAGAGCAAGGAAAGAGGCGGGTAGTTGCAGTGAGTTGTGTGAGAGGCCTACAGAGCAACAGAGCATCGTACAGGGCCGGGCGAACCAAGCAATGCCGCTAGGTGATGCCATATCACACACTCAAAGGACAAGCAGTGAGAGCACGTACAGCTGGGCGAGCTGGCCATAGGTGGAAGTGTCAGCAGCCGGGATGCAGAGGCAACGCACGTCGAAGCACGGCTTTAAGCCCTCCAGATGGCGCTCCAAGAACACGCCCTGGAAGGTGGGTGTGGGGTGGATGGAGGGCGGGAGGAAGCATTGCAGGGTCAAGGCCGCCAGGTGTCACTCCAGGAACACGCTCTGGTGGTTGGGTGGGTGATGCACGACGAGGCGGCGCCTTTTCAGTTGACACAGAAGAAGCCAAGGGAGGGGCAATGGAGCGCCAGCTGCCTTTTGTGTTGAGACAAGAGGAAGAGAGGGACGTAAAGAGAATGCCACATGGACAAGTGCTCCAGGAATACGCCCTGGGGGATGGGGGGGAGGGGTGGGTGGGGGATGAACGAACCGTATCGTAAGGAAGGGAAGGGCCAGAGAATGGGACAAGTGGGTGGGGCGCGTACCCCTTTCACTTCGCCACCCACCACCTCCTCTCACTGTCCAGTCTAACCCCCGCACGTACACGAGCAGCCGCAAAACCCTATCCCCGAAATCCTGAACCCGTCCAGCCCGGGAACATACACGAGCAGTGGCAGCTCGCGCCACGAAACCCTGAACCCTACACCTCGTACCCATTCCACTAGACCCTACCACCTCTCACCGTGCCGTCCAGCCCGGGAAGATGCACGAGCAGTGGCAGCTCGCGCCACGAAACCCTGAACCCTACACCTCGTACCCATTCCACTAGACCCTACCACCTCTCACCGTGCCGTCCAGCCCGGGAAGATACACGAGCAGCGGCAGCTCGCGTCGCACGCCGCACGGCGCCAGGAATCGCGGGCCGTCCGTCACGCGGCTCGCCTCCAGCGCCACCTGCACCAGATCGAGCCCGCTCACGTCCCATATCAGCCGCGCCGCGTCCCCGGTTGAACCAGAATCGTTATTAGCAGCCCCGTTATAGTCGTTCTCGTTACTGACGCGCGGCCGTTTGTCGGAAGCATCGTCCGTGGCTGTAGCACCAGCCCTTTCATCCACCGGCCCATCGCGGTCCCCGCTCCCCCCTTCCGCGCTGCGAGTCGCGTCAATTCGACCGTTACGCCTCGATACGACAGACCGTCTCGCTCTAAACGGCCTCGCTAAAAGCAGAGGTATCGCGGCTGCAAAGGGCCTCGTTACTACAGGATTGTTCGCGCTTGTTCCAATAACGAGGCTGCCAGTAACGAGATGCGATCGTCTTCCCGCAATAGGAGCATTCCACGGCGGAATAAACAGAGAGATAACGGAGACCGACAGTTGAATTGCTGAGGGGCTCGCTTGCGTACGTCCTCGTCTGTCAAATTGACGGAAAACGTCTCCGCTAGACGGTCGTCCTTTGTTACAAGCAATGCCAGCAGGTCCAATCGCGGAACGTTGCGAGAGAAACGGCGAGCTGACTAGCGACGGCGACGGTAGAATCGACTGCGATGATAAGATTTTAGAACCATTGGGAGGGACAAATCGTTCCCGTCGCGATGAATTCTGACGAGAAACCAGCTGCGTGAGAGAAGCCGCGCATGTCGGCGCACGAGCCGCATCCATGGCCGCCCTAGTGATCTGGGGACTGATCAGTTCCACGCTGTTTATTATTTTCACCGCTTATCAATTACGCGTTATGAAGCTGGTCCGATTTAGTACTCAGTATTAGGTTCAGCTGTTTTCGAATCGTGTACTCGGAAGAATACAATTACACAAAAAGAACAAGCTTGTTTTATTTCCAACAATACATTCTAAAAAGGCATGCTACATCACGCACTCAGCACCCTATCCCCTTCATAAGCACACACGCACACACGCTTCCCAATTCTGGCAACCAGAAAATATATGCGCCATTTATCCTTCTTCCTGCACCAGCCCTCTCCCCATTACGGCGTTGAGATTCGCCCCCAATGCCACGTAAGAATCTTAGGAATCACCCTGTCAGGTCCGGCAGCCAATCAAGTGCCTCCAGCCCTCCCTGCTCTGCCAGCCACGCTGCCGCCTCCACCAGCAACTCGTCCTCCCCCATGCCGCTCATGCCCACGCCGCCCACACCACCCATGCCGCCCATGCCGGCCAAGCCATCAAGCCCCACGCTAAGAGTGCGAGTGCATTGCACCATGGGGGTCTGTGAACCAGCAGTACCACCAGCAGTACCAGCAGCAGCGGCACCAGCGGCGGCGGCAGCGGCAGCAGTGGTAGGAATTGCAGGGCTCGAATCAACACCAGAGGCACACACATAATTGCAGGCCATGCCCATGAAATCTCGGGTGTGACTCATGCTGGCATGAATATGAGCAGCCTGAGCTGCCTGCGCAGGTGGCACCTGGTGCAACTGGTGCAGGTGCGCAGCAGCACTGCCTGCATGCTGCTCATGGCTAGAAATAAGGTTCGTGAAGTGGTTGGCGACGGGAGGGAGAGAGGCGATGGGAGGGAGAGCGGCGATAGGAGGGAGAGAGGCGACGGGACGACGCACGCTAGTGGGGGAAATGTTAGGAGGAGTGGTGAAAGAAGGCAATGCTAGCTGCGGTTGCATTGCTAGCTGAGAGGGCTGAATCTGTGCTGGCATCTCCATCACAACAGCCTCTGGCTTCGCTTGCCCTGCAGACTGAACACGCCCTTGGACCGGAGCTTCGGTCCTCAACTGAAGCACCATTGGCTGCTGCTGCTGCTGCACTTGCTGCTGCTGCTGCTGCTGCTGCTGCTGCTGCTCCTGCTGCTGCCTCTGCCCTTGGGATTTCCGGCACTCACACTGACAGCACGGGGTTTCAAGGTTAGGCAGCACAAGAGCGGCCGGCGACACTGCAGCGGGCGGCGATGCAGCGGCGGGCGGCGGCACTGGAGCGGGCGGCAGCTCAGGAGCGAGAGGCTGCGGCAGCGCATGGGGCGACATGCAATGCGGCACTGCTGCTGTTGCTGCTGCTGTTGCTACTGTCGCTGATGTTGCTGCTGCTTGGTATGGGGTGTGGGCAGAGATAGGGAGCAGCAGAGGCGACAGGAAAGGAAGCGCCTGGTTGTACGCAACGGCAGGTGCAACAGAGGTGGCTTGAGCTTCAAGGGGGGCCCACAGCTGCCGCTGCGCCGATCGTTCCGCTTCCACTGCAATGCTTTCGGTGGTCTGGAAAGGCACTGCTGCTGCTGCTGCTGCATGCGGTGCCTTATCTGGTGCTACTGATGTGGCTGGGGTTTGGAACGCTGCTGCAGCAGCATCAGACGGTGCCCGATACTGTCCTGCTTCTCTGACTCGCTGCGAGCCCTGCAGCAGCTGACGTGGCACCATATCCTCCAGCAGCCCCTGCAGCTGACGTGGCGCTGAGTCATCAAACTGGTCACCAGCCGCCACGTGTGCTTCTGCATTGGTCGCGCTGCTCCTGCTCATAGACCACCCGTAACCGCCAATGCCGCCACCCACTACCGGGGAAGCCACAACAGCTGCACCCACATCAGTGGCGCTGCCGGTTCCGCTTGTAGGCCGCCCGTAACAATCACCGCTGCCCGCCACAGGGGTAGGCACAAGAGCCGCACCCGCATCAGTGGCGCTGCCGCTTCTGCTCATAGGCCACCCGGAGTTACCACCGCCGCCCGCCACGTCGCGCCAGCTGTCGTTCCTCTCGCCAGTGCTGCTGATCGGGCTGCTGCCGTCACCGTGGGGGCTTGACAAGAGGTCAGCGCGGGAGAGTTTGGCACGGGGCACAGAGAGCAGCAGAGATTGCGAGTCCGCAGGGGCACTTACTGGGGCGTGAAGAGGGGCGTTTAATGGGGTGTTGAATTAGGGGTCATGTAAAGCGGCGTTTGGAGGGGAAGTGGCTGCAAGGGCAGCTGAGGATGGAAATGGGGGGACCATGGGAGCGGCACTGGCATGAAGAGCACCGCAACCAGCGGCATCAATGGCTCCTGCAGTTTCGGCAGCAGCGGAAGCAGGAGGAGCATCGCAGGCAGCAGGGTTGGCAGCAGCGGACAGGTGAGCGACGCGAGCAGGTTACGAGGCTGCTGCTGCTGCTTCGGTTGCCATTGCTGCTGCAGCTGCTGCAGTTGGTGCTGCTCCTGCTGTGGTTGTTGTGGCTGCAACTGCTGCGGCTGTGGTTGCTGCTGCAGTGTTTGCTGCTGCGGTAGTTGCCATTGCTGCTGTTGCTGTTGCTGCTGCTGCAACTGCCATTGCTGCTGTTGCGGCTGCTGCTGCTGCTGCTGCAACTGCCATTGCTGCTGTTGCGGCTGCTGCTGCTGCTGCAACTGCCATTGCTGCTGTTGCGGCTGCTGCTGCTGCTGTTGCCATTGCTGCTGTTGCGGCTACTGCTGCTGCTGTTGCCATTGCTGCTGTTGCGGCTGCTGCTGCTGCTGTTGCCATTGCTGCTGTTGCCATTGCTGCAGCTTCAGCTGCTGCCGCAGCTGTTGCTGCTGTTGCTGCTCCAGCCGCGGTTGCTGCTGCTGCAGCAGCGGCTGCACCACAGTGCACCTCCCTGCATCCTTCCACCCCCCCTGGTCACCGCCTTTGCTCCACGGGGACTCACGGTCGGCCGGAGGAGAGAAGCTCACTTTGATCGGCCTGGGTGGCGTGAATGCGTGAGTCGCGACAGCAGAAGCGGGCGATGAGTGAGACGGGTGAGAGGCAGTGAGGGAGGCAGAGGACACTTGAGTTGCGGCAGACACGTGAGAGGAGGGAGAGGCGTGGGGGGCAGGAGAGGCGCGCGTCACATGGAAACCCACACGAATGGATTGCGGTTCAGGGGACGGCTGGAGCCGGTGCGGGGGTTGGAACCCTTGAAAAGAGTCCAAGGTTGGGAAACTAAATCCCTGAGAGGCATAGCGGGCGCGGGGAGCATGAGTGGGCAAGCACGGTTCTGACATCAAGGAAGGGTCGTCTTCGTGCGATCGTTTGCCCAGAGAGGTGGTAGTGGGAGAGCGCTGCTGGGTTAGGTAGCACGGTGCGGAATTGGACTGCAGTACCGCTTTGCACTCCTCTTGCTGCTGCTGCTGCTGCTGCTGCTGCTGCTGCTGCTGCTGTGGACGAGGCTGCTGTTGATGCTGTTGCGGGGGCTGCATCTGCTGCTGCCAGGGATGTCCTGCTGCGTGCTGTGTTGCGTGCTGTGTTGCGTGCTGTGTTGTGTGCTGTGTTGTGTGCTGTGTTGCGTGCTGTGTTGCGTGCTGTGTTGTGTGCTGTGTTGTGTGCTGTGTTGTGTGCTGTGTTGTGTGCTGTGTTGTGTGCTGTGTTGCGTGCTGTGTTGCATGCTGTGTTGTGTGCTGTGTTGTGTGCTGTGTTGTGTGCTGTGTTGTGTGCTGTGTTGCGTGCTGTGTTGTGTGCTGTGTAGTGTGCTGTGTTGTGTGCTGTGTTGTGTGCTGTGTTGTGTGCTGTGTTGTGTGCTGTGTTGTGTGCTGTGTTGTGTGCTGTGTTGTGTGCTATGGTTGCGATGATGTGTGCGTTGCTGTCGGGAGTCGTAAAGGGCCAGGAGAACTCATGTTCCCCTGCTGTTGCCCTTGCTGCTGCCACTGCTGCTGCCCTTGCCCTTGCTGCAGTTGCTGCTGCTGCCCTTGCCCCTGCTGCTGCCATTGCTGCTGCCACTGCTGCTGCCACTGCTGCTGCCCTTGCTGTTGCTGCTGCTGCTGCTGCCCCTGCTGCATCTGCTGCTGCTGCCCCTGCCCTTGCTGCTGCTGCTGCATTTGCTGCATCTGATGCTGCTGCTGCATCTGCTGCTGCTGTTGCTGCCTCTGCTGTACGAAGTGCTGCAAATGCTGCTGCAACAAATGCTGCTGCTGCCGCGGCGGCGGCGGCTGCTGTTCACCCACAATCTCTGCTTTCGTTGCACTCTCCGCCCAAACCCCAACTAAACCAGCCGCAGCAGCAGCAACACCCGCATCCGGTATCTGACTGCAGTAAACACCCCCAGCGTGACAAGCTGCAGCAGCTGCATCACCTGGTAACCCCCCAAAGGGCGCAAACCGGAGCCCAATGGGTGGCTCACTGTGGTTGTGCGTGTTCAGGTACGTCACCCGGAAGAAAATGATCGACGCGGGCGGCCTGCCTGCCGCCCGGAAGTGCGCGGCTGGGTCGAAACCGGGCGGCAGCTGTGACGGGTGGGTGGCAGGAGTGAGGGGTAGTAGCTGCCAGTCGACCCGCTTGCGAGCCGGACAGGGATGGAAGACGGTGGGAGGAGCGGCGGCTGTTGAGGTGCCAGCTTCATCAGCATCATCATCATCAGCAGCAGCAGCATCAGCATCAGCCTTGGGATGAGGTGGAGTGTCAGCATCAGAAGCTGCACCGACAGCAGAAGCTGCGCCAGCATCAGCAGCAGCCACAGCAGCCGCAGCAGCAACTGCAGCAGCCGCAACAGGCTGGTCAACTGAGTCTGTTCGAGTTGCTGGCGTTGCTGCCGTTGTTGGCGCCATTGGCGTTGCTGGCGTTGCAGGCGTTGCCTCTTGCATGGAGAGTGATGTTGGTGTTGCTGCTGGCGTTGCCGGTGGCGCTGCTGCTGCTGCTGCTGCTGCTGCTGCTGCTGCTGCTGCTGCTGATGCGGTGGGTGACGACGCCGCTCCTGCTTCATCCTGGCGAGTGTCCGCACCGACAGGCAGAGGTTGGCATGTGGACTGTGCACAGCGGAAGTACGACCTGTGGTAGGGGGAGAGCAAGGGCAGGAGGGTGGGGTGGGCAGGGGATAGTAGGAGACGCTGAGATCACAGGGGAGTGAGAGCTGGCGGAGGGAGGCACGTGGCGCGCCGACCCGAGGGCGGGGAGAGCAGGACGGCTAAGGGAGGAGGAAATGGGGTTGTGGAGCAGGGGGGCGGAAGGAGACGATGAGGAGTTGACGTGGGGGTGGGAACCTAAGGAGTGACAACGGGGTGGGTGGGGGTGACGGCACTTGTAGCAAGTGAAGGGACGAAAAGGAGTGGTGCATTGTTTGCCAGCCAGAAGAAATCTGGCTCCAAATCTCACTGATGCTCACCTGTTGCAAGCTGACTTGACGAGCCGCTTCTCGCCGTACTTGAGCCAGCAGTGCGCGTCCTATGGCATCACGTCCTGGGGCACGCGCCTCAGCTGCTCCGCGTCCACCCACCGCCCTCTCAAGCACCACACCCATTCCTCCCCCCTCCCCAACAGATCACACTGATGCTCACCTGTTGCAAGCCGACTTGACAAGTCGTTTCTCCCCATACTTGAGCCAGCAGTGCGAGTCCTCCGGCATCACGTCCTGCGGAACGCGCCTCAGCTGCTCCGCGTCCACCGCTGCCCAATGCGGGAACAGCGCCCACGCGGGGGCGCCACTGGCTCCCGGATTAGCCCCCGCCCCCACGTGACGGCCGATGAGAGCTGCTGCGTAGACCCCTGCGGCTGCCTTGGCGCGCTTATCATGCTGCTGGCGCCAGTGCTGCTGGTGGTGTTGTTGCTTGTGGTGCTAGCAGCAAGGGTGGGAGTGGGAGTGGCCCCAGTGGCCCCAGTGTGCTTGCTGCTGCTGCTGGGTGTCATGATGATCGTGCCCGTCAGGTAATCCACAGCCATAAAACGCCCTAGTAAACGGTTGACTATAGTAGTAGACGAGACAGGCAATGCGGGCCGGATCAGAGTGTCACAGACTGGATCAGAGTCCTAGCAGGCACGTTTGGATCTTTGGGTTTCACGGGCTGTTTGGCGTTCGAAGGCCACACGAGGACGCTTAGAATGCTCAATAGTAGTTGTACGGATAATATCGTACTCCTGTTATCCCTGGTTTGCAAGCGGCGGCGCTGCGGCTTTGTGAAACGGGAGTGGCTAGCCGCGTGACCTCCTCTGGTGGGGAAAGAGGCGGTAGTAGCAGTAGCTCCGACTTACGTAGAGAAGTGGCGGAAACGCGGCGCCTGATCGAGCAGAAACCGCGTGGTTCTACTCCTGGCTTCTTGCAGAGTCAAACCGCAGCGGCAAGTCAAGTTAGCAAGTAGCTGCTGCCTCGTCAAGTATTCTCAAACCGCGGGGCTAGACAGCCAATCAAACAGAAACCGCATGGTACACGTCCTCCTAGCCTCTCGCAGAAGCTGAATCTGGAAGAGTTTGACGAGCAGCAAGCTGAGTGCTGCCCCGTCACGTATTCTCACACGCGGAGCGCCCGGCCTTGACGAAGAGCAGTGATTAGACAGAAACCGCGTTCTACATCAACAAGAAGGGAGCGGCTCTTTTCATAGTAATCCGTGGTCAGACAGAAAGGCTCAGGAGTCCTGAGAATATCGTGTTTGCTCGCTTCAAGAAACCCATAAATCAGCCAGACAGTCAGCCCTTGTGAGCCAGCTACCCGCGACGTTCGGTACAGTGGTTGACTGGCAATGCTACCCGCGATGCTCAATACAGTGGTTGACTGGCAATGCTACTCGCGATGCTCGCCGGACATGATCCCGGTGTAGCAAAACAATAAGCCCGCCATGCCCACAGTGGCGTGGCACGTCATGATGATGATTCGTTCTTACGCCAGCCGCTGGCTAGTGGTTCATCATCAGCCTGATGAGGCAACTTGTCGACAAGACCGTGTACGTAACACGAGCACGCGGCAGCTGCTCGACCAAATTCAACTACAGTACAGTTCTACAGTATTACTGGATCTCACAAATTTCTTGCCAAACGCCGAAGATCTCAAGGTCAGGAGCGATAATTGGGGGAGAAAGAGGAGGGAGATCGAAAGCGAGAATGGAGTATGAGATGAGACCCTTTTCTAGTACATGCACCAGATAAGGGTCTCATACTGTATGACGAAATCTGTTTCTGAGTGCGTGTGTGTGTTCTGTACGCAGTATGAGTTTGAGGTGAGGAGGAGGGTTGGCTGGAGGGAGTTGTACGCTATAGAGGACATGCTGCTGCCGCGGGGATTCACTAACGCGTCACTAACCCCAGCGGGCATGCCACCTCAGACGTAAAGCGAAGTCAGACTTCGTCAATCGAAACCGGAGTGGGTCACGGGTGGGACTGGGCGGCCGGGGCGGCAATACAGGGTACTGCCGCGCACTCCAATGGGTACATTGCTTCTCGATGCTGTCGAGGCGCGAAGCCATAAAGCGACGAAGCATGTCAGGAATCCTCCCTCTCTTCTTTCTCTCCAGAGTAACAAATTCTGCTCTACACCACAAAAAATGACTCTGGCGAAAGGGAGAAGGGGAAGGAGGCCCGGGGACTCCTCGGAGGAGTAGGGGAGAGGAGGTGGAACAGGGTGGGGGGGAAGTCGCGGAAAAGCCAACGGGAGGAACTGGGGTTCGGAAATATCGAGGGGCTGGCATTGATGGGCGTGATGCCCTTCGGTTCGGTGCCGCCGCCATGCCAAACACACAGCTTCGGCTTGAGGCAGCGTGCGGCATGGCTCGAATGATATGCGGGCGGTTTAACCCGCCTCCCGTCCCGTCAGTTGATGGCAGCTCAAATCGAAGGCCAGTACACTACTTACAGCGAATCAAGAAACGAATCATTAATCATTGAACGTCGGACAAATCAGTGCATGCCAGATTCAGGTCCCCGTTGAGCAACTCAACAGCGGCAGCAGCGGCAGCACACCCGCGCGCCCCTCCATCCCGCTGACCAGCACTGTGCTTTCTATTGAGGCAAGCGACCAAGAGTCCAAGTTTTGCAACGGATCTAGGCGTGGGCGGTAGATTCGCGTAGATAAAAAGAGGACAAATTAGGGAAGTCAAAGTCAGAGAATGACGATGTCAAAAGTCGCTGCATCAGAATCAAGCACGTATGCTGGTTTTGCGACTACAGCGGCGGGAGCTAGCTGTATGCGGAGCTGGATTGGCTAGTGACAGCAACAGATGGTTAAAACCTGAGGTCAGCATGGTAAATATCAAGTTATGTGGGTTTGAAATGGTGTTGGCGAAACCTTGAAAACAAGAATTTCGGCAAAGTCAGTGTAGCGAGAAAAAGATGGGTTGACGAAGGGGAAAGGAGTCTCGCCAAACGTGACGTGATGGTGAACGATACTGTGCAGCTTTGCAAAGCAAAGAGCTGCGACTGGAATGAGCGTCGCTAGGGTTGTTGGCCAGCCAATCAGGATCAAGTAGGGGAGAATGTCCTCGCACAATCCAACTTCCAGCAAAAACGAAAACAGAAAGCACCACACCCCAGAAGGAAACACCACGATCGAACAAGCTAACCACTTCACGTGTGAAATAACCGCAGTGGCTAACCACAACAGAGAGTTCAAACATAGCTGACGTGCCAGAACTTGTACATGTGGGGTCGATGGAAGGAGTGTTGATAAGAGGGCGAAACAGCGCGATATGGGAGTACTGCGACGACTCGACACGAAGACTGCGGAAGGCAGAGAGGGAGGGGAGAGGCGGAAGAAAAATTGCGTGGGCGGGAGAAATCGGTTCTGATTGCGCGATGGGAGAGCTGTCCGCTGGCGCAACTTGCGGCAGACGCAACACCGGACGGCGGGGGAGAGGAGCAGATACTGGGGGTGGAGGGGGAAAAGGGGGGAAAGAAAATCGGGGGCTTGGCGTGCGACAGGAGAGATGCTCCGCTTGTGACGTGATCTGCGGCAGGCGCATTGGCGCGCTGCCGCTCCTCATCGCGCAGGCGTGCGCTGCTCACGGATATAGCGGAATAACGCACGGAAGGGGATAACGCGCGGAAGGGGAAATCGCGCGGAAGGGGATGAGGCACGGGAAGGGATGACGCGCGGAAGGGGATGAGGCGCGGAAGGGGATGAGGCGCGGAAGGGGATGACGAGGAAAGAGATGAGGCGCGAATTCCCTGATTCCCCTCCTTTCCCCCCTTCCTTCGCCTCCTTTCCTCCCTTGCTTCCCCTCCTTTTCCCCCCTGCTTCCCCTCCTTTCCACTCCTGCTTCCCCTCCTTTCCTCCCCTGATTGCCCTCCTTTCCCCCCTTCCTTCTCCTCCTTTCCCCCCTTCCTTCTCCTCCTTTCCCCCCTTGCTTCCCCTCCTTTAATTCCCTGCTTCCCCTCCTTTAATTCCCTGCTTCCCCTCCTTTAATTCCCTGCTTCCCCTCCTTTAATTCCCTGCTTCCCCTCCTTTAATTCCCTGCTTCCCCTCCTTTGCCCCCTTGCGTCCCCTCCTTTCCCTCCCTGCTCCCTCTTTTCCCTTCCTGCTCCCTCTTTTCCCTCCCTGCTCCCTCTCCTTTCCCCCCTTGCTTGCCGTCCTTTCCCCCCCTTCCTTCCCCTCCTTTCCCCCCCTGCTCCCCCTCCATTCCCCCCTTTCTTCCCCTCCTTTCCCCCCCTGCTTCCCCTCCTTTCTCCCTCTCCTCTCCTTCATTTTCCCCAGCTGCTTGCCGCTGTTCCTCTCCTCCCTTCCCTCTCCTCCCTCGTCCAATCCCCTCCCTCCCCTCTCCTCCCTCGTCCAATCTCCTCCCCTCCCTCCCCCATCTTCCCTATCCCCCGGAATCCTTCTCTCCCCTTTTCTCCTCCACCCCCTCTTCCTATCTCCTCCTCCTCTTCCCCTCTCCTATCCCCTCGTTTACCCCCCCCCCCTAGCCCCTTGCTTCTCCCATGCTAGCCCCCTGCTTCTCCCATGCTAGCCCCCTGCTTCTCCCATGCTAGCCCCCTGCTTCTCCCATGCTAGCCCCCTCTTCCCTCCCTTCTAGCCCCTTGTTCCCTCCCTCGTCCAATCTCCTCACTTGCACCCTTCCTCTCTTCCGCACTCCCCCCTTACCTCTCTGTCCCGCCTTTCCTCCCTTGCTTCCCCTCATTTACTTTACCCCTTTTCTTCCCCTCATTTTCCCCCCTGCTTCCCCTCATTTCCCCCGCTGCTGCCACTCATTTCCCTCCCTGCTTCACCTCATTTCCCTCCCCACTTTCCCTGTTTGTACCCTCCTGGTTCCCCTCATTTCCCCCCCTGCTTCCCCTCATTCCGCCCCCCACCTCCCCTCATTTCCCCCGCTGCTGCCCCTCATTTCCCTCCCTGCTCCTCATCATTTCCCTCCCTGCTCCTCATCATTTCCCTCCCTGCTTTCCCTGTTTGTACCTGCTTCCCCTCATTTCCGCCACTGCTGCCCCTCATTTCCTTCCCTGCTTCTCATTATTTCCCTCCCTGCTTTCCCTGTTTGTACCTGCTTCCCCTCATTTCCCCCGCTGCTTCCCCTCATTTCTACCCCTGCTTCTCCTCAATTCCCCCCTCTGCTTCCCTGGACTTCCCAATCTGTTTCCCCTCGTTTCCCCTCCTGCTTCCCCTCATTCCCCCCCCTGCTTCCCCTCATTCCCCCCCCCACCTCCCCTCATTTCCCCCGCTGCTGCCCCTCCCAAACCCTCGTGTTGTCTCCCTCTTCCTCGCTATTGCAGTGACTACACTGAAGATTTTTCTGATATTGCAACTCGCCTCAGCCCATCATCCCATGCCATGCTCGAAGAGAAACCAGTTCCCCTCATGTTTTTTTCAGGGCCTTGAGAAAGGTACAATCAATAGCGTCTATGCATTTTGGAATATTATATTGCACTGCAGAAACAATAGTACATATTGTGCCTTTGGCATGGATATCTCCAACAGTATTCTGATATCATGCTTGCATACAACACACAAGAAACAGGCGGTGGTATGGTGTAAATCATCGACTAGCTGTGCCTCATCTTTGTTGGAAATACAATCATAAAGTAAATTTATATGCTATTAGATATTAGTGTAGTACCCTTTTGTAAGACTCCAGGTCCTACAATAATTGTGCAATTATTGTAGAGCCAAAATTATTGGGGGTCTAGAATTATTGGAGGGTAAGAGTTATTGGTGGGTAGCATTATTGGTGCACCATTATTGGTGTGGATAGGTGGACTTTGGAGGGTTAGGTGCTTGGATAAATACCTTGCTGTGTGGTGCCACAATCTATTCCATTGTTCCGAGTCTTTTCAGTTGCAAAGTTTCTCTTGCTACTTTCTACAATCAAGCTTCCGCTACGACGGCACTATGCCTTTCTACCATGGTATCAGAGCTACTTTAGGGGGCATGCTGCCGAAATTCGGTCAGGCACTTACGTCATCAAGAACGTTTGACAAGGATATTAGCAAGTCAGCATAGGTACGAGCAACTTTCTGGATCAACGGCATGGCAGGGTTTGATGAGGAAGTTGACGCATGATACGCGACGTTTGAAGAGGCCATTGTAGCTCAACATGAGCACCTGGAGAACATGATCGCAAGGGCACCACCGACACTTCAAGCATCATTAAGAGTCAAGTTCAACATGCCAAGTCAAGCACAAGACCCATCCACCCGTGAACAGTCACATGCAAGCACTCCGCGTACTAACCAAACCCATGCTTCAAATGTGGATGCAGGGGTTGAAGATGAAGGAGAGGGAAGCCTACCCCAAGGAGGAGAATCATCCCAAGGGAGGGATGCATCCTTCCAAAGAGAGAGGAGCTCCCACCCCAAACCTCAATCAATCATGCAAAAGGAAGCAACGGAGAGGGATGATGCGTACGAGAGTGGAACAAATGTGATGGAGCATGATGATGAGATCGGCGTGGGAAGAAACATGAGAGGACAGATTGGTGAAGAGAGTGGTCGAAGCAGTCATGTGGGCATGGAAGGTGTGGGATTCGAATCCTGCATTATTGGTGCTCCCCCACTGCGACGTCTTGCTACTAACTCCCACCCCATTAGAGTTCCCGTGATGGGCAGATCTCGCCTTTTTGGCAATAATGCCATACCTCCTCGTGCGCCACAGTCTCAAATGGAAACTGTACTTGCAGGAAGCATGGGGCGCATGGGGCGCGGGATGCAATCAAGTGGTGTTATGCGACGTGATCAAGTGGTAGTGGGGGAACGTGAAGGCACACAACGCACGATACAACTATCTCGACCATCTAACGTGCCTACGCTCTTTGACCCATCTCCACGCGAATACACGGAAGAAGACAAGGACATGTTGTCACGCAAGATGGTGGGAGCAGCAGTGTACAAAGCGTTCACAACAACCCCGTTCGACGGGACTAACTTCCGAGAATGGGCTCTTCGATTTCGCATGAGCGCGCGCGTGACAAATCTGTGGGAGTTTTTCGTGACACTTCAATACCCGGTTACAATGGCGAATGGAGAAATGCGAGATGCAATCAAACGGCTAGAAGTTCTGCAAGCAGATTACTCACAACGGGCTACGCTGGCTTTTTGGGTGCTGCTACATAGCGTGAGCGCAACGATTCAGCTGCAACTGTACGTATTCCACGAGTCATACAGTCCGGCATTCAAAGCATGGGAGTATCTGATGGAGACGTACCAGGCGAAAGATTCGGTGGCAAAGGCATCTCTCCAGAGGCAATTGGACAACCTGAAGATGGGGAGCCAAGAAAGAGTGGAGGAATACATCCATCGAGCAACTGCGGTTCGAGACAAGCTGGCAATGGCGCAAAAGATGGTGGATGAAGATTCGTTCACTTTAAATCTGATTACCAAGCTGCCGCCGCATTGGGAGGAGCTGAGGCATTCGGCAATGCTACACAGCATCTCGGACAGCTACACACTACAGCGAATGATGATTCAAGAACAACGCTACCGAGACCTCATTAGCAAGACCAACTGTGACAAGCGTCCTCTGCGCATGGCTGGCCAAGCACGTGGAGATACTTCACTAGCAAAGAAGACCGAAACAAAGGGCAACCAGAATGCGGTTGGGGAGAAACTCAAGGCCAACGAAGGAAGAAGAGGACGCTCCAACCTTGTGTGTTGGTACTGCAAGGAATCTGGCCGCCCATTCTACAAATGCCCTAAGGCGCCCCCGAGTTGGTCACCGCCAGTGTGGGAACTACAAAACAGAGGGAGGACAAACCAGCGCACCTAGAATGGCCGTTCGTCCTCGCCTTGAAGGAGTGAAAGCCCCAAACGTGACAACCAAGCGTCAAAACAGCAAGGGGCAGCCGGGGGAGACAACAAACACCACGTTACATGCGTCACAACGATTCGGGCAATGTTACCAACAGTCGGAGGGTCGCTGTGGTTGCTGGACAGCGGATGCAGCCGACACATGACTTCAGAAAAGGATTGGTTTGAGGGTCTAGAGGAGCTGGACAAACTTGTTTACGTGGAGCTTGCTGACGGGAGCCACCTGTTGCGCTCGATGGCGGGAACAATCCGAGCAACGGCACCCGATGGAACAATACTGCGCTACACGGATGTGCTCTACGTACCTGGCTTGAAGTCCAACCTACTCTCCTACTGCCAACTGCACACGAAAGGGGCTCGGATTCGCACTCGTAATGACGGACGCACGGAGATTACTATGGCGGTTGAAGATAAGCATGTGGTCATTGCCGTTGGAATGATAATGCATGGTGTGCTCATGGTGCAGTATGAGCCTGCACTTGCATCTGCCCATGGATCTGACCATTACCATGAGGAAGACGCATTGCATGATCATGGTTATGAAGGGCTGAATCCACTTTCAGCGCATGCATCCATGCATCCATCACATACCGCATGACCCACAAGCGCTTGGGTCACCCATCGACATCCATGGATGCAACATTTCGAAATGGAGATGTTGAAGGACTCACCATATCCGACAAGACTAACCCTCTCAAACCCCCATGTGACTCATGTCTTCGAAGGAAAATGAGCAAAGCCTTTTTTCCCATAGGAAGTGCTAATGTCACAACTCGACCTTTGGAGCTCGTGCATAGCGACATCATGGACCTGGGTGATGCTCACCCTTCACTTTGCTATGTGCTGACGTTTAAGGACGACTACACCAACTACCTGTGGGTGGCGCCGTTTCTCGCCGGTCCGACATGGCTGCAATTTTCTCGGCTTGGCACTGTGAGATGAAGAGCAAGCTGCCCAAGACGCCGCTGGCTGCCTTGTGCACGGACAACGAGGGGGAGTACACATCAAACGCATTCACAAAATACCTGAGTTCTCGCGGTATTAATCACCAAACGTCCTTACCACACACGCCGCAGCAGAATAGCGTCGCTGAACAGGTTAACTGCACACTCATGGACCGAGTGCGTGCAATGACTACTGGAGCCAGCCTTTCTTCTAAGTTCTGACTTTACCCTGGAGTATGCAGCCTGGTTACACAACCGCATCAGTTGCAGCAGCAACCCATCAACACACTCACCGTACTTCATTATGACAGAAAAGGCAACAGATGTTTCAATGGCAAAGACCTTTGGCTGCCTCTGCTACTACCTCCCTCCCCAAGGTAGCTTTGGGAAGTTCGAGCAAAGAGGAAGGGTTGGGATGTTCCTTGGACTCTCCATCGCTCGGAGAGCATGGATCGTGCGGGACTTGACACGAACACACGCTCAGCTCGCTTCTTTGATGACCTCATGATTCCGGACGCTGACTCGGTACTCGAACACCACCGCTACAAGGAGGAAGTCTCACCTCACATCGACGGCTGGACTTCCGGAGGAGAAGGCTTTGGGTCCGAGTTGGACTCTTTTCCCGCATCCTTGCCATCGCCTACGTCGTCCACGAAAACATCAACCACACGAGGACAGGAAGCTGTCGCAAATCAAGAGGATGCACCCATTGACGACGCAACCAATAAGGGAGAAGGGGGTGCAGCAAGTGACTTACCTCCAGCTGG